CGGAGCTGGATCCAGAGCCCATCCCTCAGACGGCGCCTTTTGAATCGCTCAGCCCGCTCGCCACAGGGCCGAAGAGGAGCAAGAGGAGCAAGACCAGACACCCTGGGCCGCCTGGCTTGCGAGGAGGGCTGTTTCCATCAGTTTGGGTCCTTGCTCTGAGGTCCTGGTGGTTGGCGGATACGGCCCAGATGCCGGCAAGAGCTGTGAAGTACTGGACCTGCAGGCAGGTCAGAGTTGTTGGAAGCAAACCAGTCGTTCACCCTGTAGATGAGTTGCAGAGATGCAGTTGAATCTAACCACGTACTTGTTTGCACGAGCCATCCTCATCGGGTCAAAAGAGGATGTATTCGAGCACCATGGACTTTCAACAGCGCCGGCTAGCCAAACGCGATGCCCCCTTTGCAATGTGACATGACACTGTGGCGCTCCACCACCACCAGCAGCGCCACCACCACCGCCGCCCCGGTGTTTAAGCCGGAGCTCGGGATGTGCGCATCGCGGACGAGTCGTGCATTGAAAGCGGTGTCTCTCGAATTCGAGAGGCAAAAGCGTACTTCCTGTGCGACAGTAGCTGAAGCTGCCAACGTGCACACGTACATGTGTATTTAAAAGTTGCCATTGTCGAGCTGCAGCTGCCGTGTACTTCGTGTTGCGCTGCCCAGTCCAGAGAAAGGGGTGTGATTTTGGCGACGTCCTGCGAAATGGCGATACCCGGACGGCCCGGACAAATGTCCTTGAGACCGGGCGATCCTTCCACTTGGTTCGCCACGCTGGTCTTTAACATCCGTGAAGTCACGGGCTCATGAAAACCCATTCGAGCCTGCGTACCGATGAAGAGTACAGCCTACTAGCCAAAACGTATCAGCGAGGCCTTGAAGGGACTTCTGCAGCCAAAACGTGCAGAGACGTGCGCAAGCAGACACAACTTGTGCCTGATTTGGAAGGTGACTTGCTTTGGTTTTGACTAGCTCTGATTTCGACTTGGATGTCCTTCTGAAGTCTGAGTGGGTTGGCATGTTGAATCATTCTTCCAGATGAGCAAATGTGCAAAGCCCGCGAATTGGCGAACCGTGCGCATGCATTTCACTGAGGAGATGCGCTCACACCCGGGACCGCAGCTCTTGACACGGCGCGCATGCTGCGTAGCTGCGATGCCTGGCGCTGAGGGCCTGAACTGACGAAATCTGAGAGAGGGCCATGGGCGGCCATGGGCGGCCATGGGCCACGGGGGAAGCCCAGGTACGGCGACAGTGAGGTGCTGATTGCGGGCGGGCCTGGCCCTCGTGCTTTCTTGAGAGCCGTGGTGACATCATGCGCAATCAAACGCAAGGAACACTGGAAGCTTCCAACTTTAAAACCTTGCAGCTGGAGCACCGAATGAATGCATGGCTCCGGAGGTTCGACGAGTGTCCCCAGATTGTTTGGCGGCGGACGCGGATCCGTGAGCCTTTCGCTTTGTGTCCAGCGCATCTGCCAGGTTTGCGAGCTGCGAGCTCAGGGTGCCGCGGGTGCCACGGGTGCCACGGGTGGCGCGGGTGGCGCGGGTGCCACGGGTGCCACGGGTGCCACGTTGACATATGTTGACCAGACGGCGTGTATACGGCGTGAACGAGTATGTCATACGAGGTGTGAGCAGCACCGAGCTCATCAACCTCTACGACCTGAAGCCCACGGCCACGGCAGAGCCGAACTTCCAGGACAGGACTTCGGCCTGTGGCTTTATAGCCGCCTTAGGATGTGTTTGGGGTATGTCCCTTCTATGACCCATGCATAGCTGCCCGATTTCAATTGGTATGTCCATTTGGGCTATATAAATTGGCCCTTAGACAGTTTGGAAGCAAAGATGTTCGAGGCTTGAGACCGTGACAAAGATAGAAACCTCATTTGTTTCAAGCATCACTTCAACGTGTGTCGTTTTGCCTGACGATTTTTTTGCAATTTCCTAATATCCAACGAGATTTCTGCTTCCCCCCAAGCCTGCTTACCAACTGCACCTTTGTGCTAGCCCCACGTGTTCTCCACGCGCTTGCCTATGAGCCATGTTTTTAAACACAGTCCAGAAAATCCCCACAGTGACGCCTGCTGTGGGCCGCTCTGCGCAAAGCACAAACGCCAAACGCCAAAATTACGGGACACCGATTTTAAGGCCATCCGTCATACCGTGGTACTCTGCCAGGATGGGCCAGGCTCGAGGCAGGCAAAAGAAAGGGCTGCCACCTGTACCATTTGAATTCTCCAGGCCACAGACAGCCTCAGATTCGGAGGTCGAGGCATGCTGTTGACATCCCTCCGCTGGCCTGCACTTGTTTGCGCTTGTCAAATGGCTGTTCGAGCTATCTGTGAATATGTGTGGCCTCGCGCGTGTGGCTCAAACTTGTCCGCGGGCGCGCAGCGCAGGCTCGACCTTGCTCAAGTCAAGCACCAGCCCACACGCAATGGGAGAGCGTGCCTTGGACGGATTCCCATGGACAGCGTGACATGTGAAGCATGTGAAGAAATGTGAAGAAATGTGAAGAAATGCGAATCATTTGAATCATTTGAATCATTTGAGATCCTTTGAGATCCTTTGAGCGTGAGGGACTCCGATGTGCGAACCTAGGTGAGCGCAGCCCTCGTCGGGATGCAAATGAGAAGATCATCGATGGCCGTCGCATTGCTGCAGCCCTTTGCGACTTGGTGCTCAAGCCCGTCTTTTCGGCAGCGTTTCAAAGGGCCCCGCGATGTGACCATTCAGTGGCGTCAGTGGAGATTAGCTCGTGCTTTCGAAAGGATGCGTGATGGTATGATGATAGAAGTGTGGAGTCCGAAGTGCACCCAAAGAAGAGCCAGCCCACATGCTGCAATGCATGATGTACGCCAAGTTGAAGTTAGGGCTTGCAATGGACGAGAATGGCAGAATCGTATCGCATTTTGAATAGCCAGTGAGAGCAGGGAACTCAGTAAGCCCAATTTGCTCACTGGTGGTGGGCAACCAGGCAGGAGTCATGTATAGTAATGTGATGTAAGCTGCCTTAATGTAGCCCAATTTGGTCTAATGTGACCCCAAAACATCATAGACTCTTTGTGTTTTGTGTTTTGGGAAGTCGTTTTCCTCAATGTTGCCTCGATTTCTAATTGTAAACGCTTCGCGTTGCCCGCCTCGGCCCAGCCTAGTCTGAGGGAAGGGTCAGGAACACCGAAATCCAGTGTTGGGAAGGTCCGAATCCTACTGAAAGCTTGCGACCGCACCAGTTCGCCCGTGCTAGTTCGATGTTCGGAAGCCGTCCTGCTCGGAAGGCTTGAAATCCAAAACCAAGACTATCTCCGTCTCGGCGCTAGATAGGCTGAGGCCTGCGAGTCTCAAACAGGGTGGGCTTGGGTGGGGTTTGCTTAGGCGGGTTGCTGGTTGGGCTGGGCCTGAAGCTAGTCTCAGCCACGAGGCTGCGAAGCCATGGGTGGGTTGCTGGCTGCTGGGCAGCCGGACTACGCTGTTGGTTGCGCCTGGAACTTCGGCTGGGCGGGCTGGGCTGAGCTGTGCTTGGGCGGGTCGCTGGATGGGCAAGGCCTGTCTCATACACACTTGGGCCTGAGGCTGGGTAGCGAGTTGCTGGCTGGGCCTGAGGCCAGTCGCAGACACGCAAGACACGCCAGCAGGCGGGCTGAGGGACTGGGCCTGAGGCTAGTCTCAGGTTGGCATACCTTGAGACTGCGCCGAAGGGGCTGGCCTGCTGGATGACTTGGGGCCAGACACGAGCAGGAGGTCAAGGCCTGGTCAGCCTGGGCTGAGCTGCTTGGGCAGCCGGACTGGGGGGCTGGGGCACGTCAGACAGGCTTAGTAGCTGGCGTAGCTTGAGACCAGTCTCAGACACGTGAGACTGGTCGTTGGCCTGAGGTTGCTGGTTGGGCTAGGCCTGTTTCAGACAAGCTTGGGCCTGAGGCTGGTGGGCTGGGCTGAGCCTAGTCTCAGACACGTCAGACAGGCCTGGCCAGCAGGAGGTCATGCTTTTCCAAAAAAGCAATTTTTTAGTGATTTCGACAAAAATGGACCCATGGAGCTGGACGCCGACGAGCCCCGAAAATTTCAAGGCCCGCCGGACAGGATTTTGGGCCAGCCGACATGGGTTGGGGCGGCGGGGGGGTGGGATTCTCTTTGCAAAAGAAATCTGCTTTTGGGCCGAAGCGAATTTCCCTATGTGACTTACCTGCTGTTGTTCCTGCTTAGCACTCTCTTTTTTGTGTGTTGTGTGTGTGAGTTATGTGAACACATTTCATGTTGAGACACAGTTGCGAGACATGTGCTTTACAGGTCCATACGGTAGGTTTTCCACTAGTTCCATCCTTTTAGAGCGACATATCAGCAATTGAAGACCCGGTATGACTGAAGGCTGCTGGTTTGCATTTGTGGCACTCCTGAATTGGCGCTTCTTGCAGCGGCTCCTTGGACATTTTTATTGGGAGGACGCACATTGGGTCTGGGTGCTCTTAGGTCGGGATGTGAGGACAGCAGCGGGGGAGCTCCAGAGCAAGTACGGCATCACCCCTGGCCTGGCCATCATCGAGGCCCGGGCGCGCGGCTGGCGCGAGCTGGTGGCGCGAGATGCGACATGATGCGAGATCATGCGTCCGGCGCGCATCAGCACGCAGCCGCGCACGCCGCCGCGCCGCGCACGCCGCGCACGCCGTCACTCGCTCAGGTGGGGAACCACAACTACGGGCAGCTGCTGGACTGCTTCAGCACCTTGGACGGCCCGGAGAAGCTGGAGGAGCACAAGGCCGACAAGGCGGACAAGGAGCACAAGGCGAGCTTCTCGAACTACGGGGAGCTGAAGGCCAAGATGGCGGAGCGCTGCGGCCTGCACGCCCAGATCCTGCGCTTCAGCGAGACGGTGAGCCAGGCGCGGCTGCTGAGGATCATCGGCGGCCTCATGGCGGACGACTGCATCCACGGGATTCTGGTGGAGCTGCCGCTGCCGCAGCACCTCAACGAGATGGAGATTATGCAGGCCATCGGCCCCTCAAAAGACGTGGATGGCCTGGCCTTCGCGAATCTGGGCCGCTTGCTGGCGAGCGGGGGGTACCAGTCTGGCGCCGAGCCTTACAGCCGTCCGACTGTGCCTATGGGTGTTGTGGAGTTGCTGCTGCGGTCGAAGGCACATATTCCGCGCTCGCCTTGGCCGACCGTGAAGTGTCCTTTTCCATGCTCGCCCCTTCATGCCCTGATCCGTGCTGACATTCATGCGCACTTGGCAATCCAGCAAGGGATCGCTTAAACTTCTGGGTTCTGCGCAGGTGGACCTCTACGGGAAGCATGCAGTGGTGCTCGGGCGCTCCATTACGGTGGGCGCCCCCATCGCGACGCTTCTGATGGCACATGACTGCACTGTCACCAGCTGCCACAGCCAGACGCCTGGGCTGCAGGACACTCACGGCCAAAGACGATACAGCAATTTGCGATTGCAAGCTTGTGCTTTCCAGGTTACGTTGAAGCATAGGCGAGCTCGCGTGCCAGGACCATATTGGCCGAGCAGACATCCTGGTGTCTTGTGCTGGCCGGCCAGGATTTGTGAAGGGCCAGTGGTTAAAGCCAGGAGCTGTCGTGATTGACGTCGGGATGAATGCGCCCCAGCTGCCATCAGCAGGTTGCAGATAGACCAGGACGTGCATGCGTCAAGAGTTGTTTGATCAAAGCTGCATCCCAGAGTGCCGTTTGACAGTTTGATGAGATGCTGCATCGTGTGTTTTGTTTTGTGTCCGAGGTGGTTGCAGATGCGGCGAAGGGGACCCCGCGCATCGTGGGGGACGTGTGCTTCGATGATGCGGTGAAGGTGGCGTCCAAGATCACCCCGGTACCGGGGGGCATGGGTCACATCTCCTTTGCGATCTTGCTGCGCAACGTGCTGAACCTGGCCCGCACGGCGGCCTCTTTGACGCGTCTGGGCATCGGGCCTTCGGGCCACGAGATGTTCCGCTGCGCGGACCGGCTGCGCTTCCCGGATCTGGGGCTCAAGGTGCCGCGGGTGCTGCTGCCCCGGGCCGGGCTGGACCTCAGCAAGTGGTGCGTCATCGCCTGCGACCAGTACACCTCGCAGCCAAAGTACTGGAAAGAGGTGAAGGACTTGGTGAAGGATGCCCCCTCCACGCTGAACCTCATCTTCCCAGAGGTGTACCTGGGCGACCAAAAGGCCAACCAGCAGATCATCCGAGGCATCCGGGACAAGATGTATGAGTACGACCGGGACCGGATCCTGGTACCACAGCACCCCGGCTTTGTGCTCATCGACCGGAAGACGCCTCACGTGGCTAGCCGCAAGGGTCTCTTGGTGGCGCTGGACTTGGACATGTACAGCTTCGAGAAGAACTCCCAGACTTTGATCCGACCCACCGAGAAGACGATCCCCGATCGGCTCCCGCCCCGCATTGCCATCCGCGAGCAATCCCCACTGGAGCTGCCCCACATCCTGGCGCCTCGGAACACAAACGGAAGAACGGAGTAACACGGGAACTTGTTTGCTGAGAATTTGTTGGCTGCGTGGTATTCGGCAGGTGTTGGTGGACGATCCTCAGCAGACGGTGATCGAGCCGTTGATGGCACGTGCCGACACCTTCCCCAAACTCTACGACTTTGAGCTGATGAAGGGCAGTGGCCATCTCAAGGGCTGGCATGTGGCAATGACCCATGGGTGCCGTTAGCACGTGTTTGTCGAGAGATGAGAAGACACAGGTCTACACCTCGGTTTGCATACGTCAGGTGTTTTCGCAGACCTTTCCCGAGACATCTTGAGTGCCCGAGAGCTGAGGAGCGATGCCGTGGATGGTGTCGTTTCAGCTTTGCGCAAGCTGGCATCGCCGGAGAACTTCAAGAAAAAGTATGGCGCAACGGATGACCATGGCGTCATCCTTTTCCCAGTCGCCGGCTTAGGCGAAGGAGTCACAGAAAGGCAAGTTGAGTAGTCAGAAGATGTCAGAAGCACGCGTCCCTTCTTGCGGCCAAAGATTGGCCACATTTGTCTGGACAGGCACTTGCATTCCAAGTGTAAATGAGGTGGGTGATGGCAACCACTCATTGGCGACAGCGAAGCAGTGCTGGGAGAACCTGAAGCGGAAGGGGGCGGATCCGGAGACGCACCCGGCGCGGCACGCGCTGGTGGAGCTGGTGAACATCCACGACCCCGGCATGACCTTCGAGCCCATCCACCGCCTGGTCTTCAACGTGGACGTGGACGCGGCGCTTTCGAACCTGCAGAGCTGCTTGCAGCAGAGCGGCTGCCCGGTGCAGGTGCTGGAGGGCGCCAGCCTGGCCAGCACGCCGGCGCAGCCGGGCACTCACCACATCGAGTTCCGGTCCCAGAAGCGGAGGGGCGTGCTGGCCGTGAAGGCCCGAATGGTGCTGGAGGCGGCCACGCTCACCGCCTGGTTGGACCCCTACTTGGCCCAGAACCCTGCGGCCTCCGTGGACTACGTGCACGGGGAGGAGGTCATCACAGAGAAGACCCAGGACAAGTCCACCTTGGCCTTCCTGCTGCCCATCATGGACAAGAACGACCTGGTGAAGACTGTGGTAAAAGAGGGGGTGCTCCCTCGCAAGACCTTCTCCATGGGCGCGGCAGATGAGAAGCGCTTCTACTTCGAGTGCCAGCGCATCGTGCCGGAGTTCACTTTCTTCAAATCCGACTTCTTCCGGCGCGGCAGTGTGTCAGTTCCTCTTAGTGAGAAGTGATGCTGATTGCTGCCAAACATGGCAGTGCCTGTTTGAAGTGGCCATTGAAATCAGAGCAAGTGGCGCTTGGGTGCAGTGGCCATTATTTTAATCGTTTCAGCCGGTGTTGGCCGGCTTTCGTGGAATGATTGTGCAAGGCTTTATGCGAATCCAAGATGAGCCAAAGTGCCAAGGGGCAACATGAAAGACAAGGTGAGGCGAGGTACAGCGTTTGGCTGGCCGCCAATAGAAAGGTTTGCGTAAGGGGCAAGGCTTTGTACAGAGAGTGGGCTTTACTGGCAAGATTCTATGAAGGCCTTGGGTCTTTTGCGGCAGTTTGGTGTATTTCTTGGCACCGAGCTAGGCTCAGATTAGCGGCAAGGTTTGAAAAGCCATCTCCAGCAATGCATGCGAGCAATGAGCGCGATAGCAACTCTACCCCGCTTTTGCAAATTCGGGCACTCGCAGGCACCGCTCCACCCTGCGGATTTGGGGTGCGCGAGCGAGCAAACTTTTGCTCGGACTCTGGCTCTGACCCTGGACCCGAGGCGAGCCTTCTCCGTGTTCGGGCCAGAGATGCTGGAGCGGTCCCGGCCCCACACGCTCAGCTCGCACGGAGCGAGCCCCAAGATGCCTCCAGGCGGGCAGCCTGCGCAATGGTGGAGGTGCCACCGCAGGACACGGGTGCGACATGCGCGACATGCGCGACATGCGCAACATGCGCGACATGCGCGACATGTGCGACATGCCAAGAAGCTCAAGGAAGTGAGGGGCTCAGAGGCTAACCGTCAGGAGGAACATCCAAGTGCTCGGGTGTGGGTGCTTGGAGGCACCAACGAGCGAGGCTGGGAGACGAATGATGTTCATTGCAAGGGAAATCACTCTCACCTCAGGCCAGCGCCTGAATACGAGCGAGTGGATCGATGTCATGGTGCGACGGTCTCAAAGCCCAAGCTTCCACAGCAAGCGCGGCCATTTCGCGATAGTTCGCACATGTCCTGCTTGGTACAAGGCCAGACGAGGACGGCGCGACAGTTTGAGCGTGTGAATTGCACATCCGATTTGGAGGGATGGCAGTTAAGCTGGTGTTGTAACGTGCCGGATTCGACGTGTGCGTCATTCAAAGCGGCTTGCGCTTGGACTATGGACTCAGGACAGCCCAGGCAGAACCTTGAGCCGGATGAGCAAAGCTGGCAAAGCTGGAAGCACAGCTGGAAGCACAGCGAGCAGAATGGGAAGCAAACAACCGCAAGGCCAGCAAGGCCCAAGCCAGCCAAGCGACAGACCTGAGAGCCGAAGCGGCGAAGCTGAGAGACCGGGAAGCCAAGCAGAAGCCGTGGGAGACGTAGCGACGCCAGCGACTCCAGCGACGCCAGCGACGCCAGCGACGCCAGCGACTCCAGCGACTCCGGAAGCCCGAGTCACCAACATCCAGGCGCGAGTCAAGAATGGAAAGAGTTGGAGTTTGAAACTTTTTGAGACTCCTGGCTTAGGAGCCTCTTCCGGAGTTCCAGCCCGGTCCTCAGGTTGGTCGAGTCAGGTCGGATCGGGTTGGGTGAGGCCAGGGCCGGACATGGCGCTGGCGCGGTCGGGCTTGGCTGCAGTGCGGCTCGTGCCCCAGATGTGTTTCCTGGGTGTTCGCTCGAATGTCGAACCCCTTTGGCGTCTTGCCCGGGCCAGTCTCAGCGACGTCTTGGTGCTGGTTGCCGGAGGCTTTCGTTGAGTTCGGCTTCGACGTGCTGACCGCACCATGCCGCAGCTTCTCGTCATTTGCCAGGCGTGGGGTCTGACGGCCACTTGGACTCCACAGAGGCAGTGGGTGAGAAGGAAGCGGTGAAACGATGTCAAATGTGGCTGTTGGCAGTTTTACGACTTCGAGCACCCGCTATCCATGCAGCACGGCCCGGACCTGTCCTGGGGCTGTGACAGTTGGGGAGCCCAATCCATGCAGCTCGTAGCGATGTAGAGAAGGGCTATGGGGGTTGGAATGGCTTGGAATGCTGGAGGCCAATTTGGCTTCGGCTACTGCGTCGCCAGCCGTGCAGCATAGGCTTGGAGGACGCTCGCGCCTGGTACTGACAGATCCAGGCATGGTCGGCCCGGTGCGAAGATGCTAAAACCGCCAGGGCGCCACTGTTTGTTTCACAGCGCCTTCAGCCCAAAGCTTGGCTGTTGGCAGTCTCACTGGCAGCGGCCACAGACACACGAAGGCAACCTCGCCGGCGTCTTCCTTTTGACAAGCAGTACAGTTGTTTTCGGTTTGGCTGGAGCTAACCTCTTGACAAGCAGTCGGTGGACATGCAGTTGTTTCCGGTTTGGCTGGAGCCGACCTCTTGACAAGCAGTAGGCGGACATGCAGTTGTTTTCATTTTGGCTGGAGCTAACCTCTTGAGAAGCAGTAGGTGCACCTACTGCTTGTCAAGAGGTCGGCTCCAGCCAAACCGAAAACAACTGCATGTCCACCTACTGCTTCTCAAGAGGTTAGCTCCAGCCAAACTGAAAACAACTGCATGTCCACCTACTGCTTGTCAAGAGGTCGGCTCCAGCCAAACCGGAAACAACATGAAACAACTGCATGTCCACCGACTGCTTGTCAAGAGGTTAGCTCCAGCCAAACTGAAAACAACTGCATGTCGACATGCAGTTGTTTTCAGTTTGGCTGGAGCTAACCTCTTGAGAAGCAGTAGGTGGACATGCAGTTGTTTTCAGTTTGGCTGGAGCTAACCTCTTGACAAGCAGTCGGTGGACATGCAGTTGTTTTCAGTTTGGCTGGAGCCGACCTCTAGACAAACAGTAGGTGGACATGCAGTTGTTTCCGGTTTGGCTGGAGCCGACCTCTTGACCAGCAGTAGGTGGACATGCAGTTGTTTCCGGTTTGGCTGGAGCCGACCTCTTGACCAGCAGTAGGTGGACACGCAGTTGTTTTCAGTTTGGCTGGAGCTAACCTCTTGAGAAGCAGTAGGTGGACATGCAGCTGTTTTCGGTTTGGCTGGAGCCAACCTCTTGACAAGCAGTCGGTGGACATGCAGTTGTTTTCAGTTTGGCTGGAGCTAACCTCTTGAGAAGCAGTCGGTGGACATGCAGTTGTTTCCGGTTTGGCTGGAGCCGACCTCTAGACAAACAGTAGGTGGACATACAGTTGTTTTCGGTTTGGCTGGATCCAACCTCTTGAAAAGCAGTTTGGCTGGAGCCAACCTCTTGACCAGCAGTCGGTGGACATGCAGTTGTTTCCGGTTTGGCTGGAGCCGACCTCTTGACAAGCAGTAGGTGGACATGCAGTTGTTTTCAGTTTGGCTGGAGCTAACCTCTTGAGAAGCAGTAGGTGGACATGCAGTTGTTTCCGGTTTGGCTGGAGCTAACCTCTTGACAAGCAGTCGGTGGACATGCAGTTGTTTTCAGTTTGGCTGGAGCTAACCTCTTGACAAGCAGTCGGTGGACATGCAGTTGTTTTCAGTTTGGCTGGATCCAACCTCTTGAAAAGCAGTTTGGCTGGAGCCAACCTCTTGACCAGCAGTCGGTGGACATGCAGTTGTTTTCAGTTTGGCTGGAGCTAACCTCTTGAGAAGCAGTAGGTGGACATGCAGTTATTTCCGGTTTGGCTGGAGCTAACCTCTTGAGAAGCAGTAGGTGGACATGCAGTTGTTTTCGGTTTGGCTGGGGCCAACCTCTTTACAAGCAGTCGGTGGACATGCAGTTGTTTCCGGTTTGGCTGGAGCTAACCTCTTGACAAGCAGTCGGTGGACATGCAGTTGTTTTCAGTTTGGCTGGAGCTAACCTCTTGAGAAGCAGTAGGTGGACATGCAGTTGTTTCTGGTTTGGCTGGAGCTAACCTCTTGACAAGCAGTCGGTGGACATGCAGTTGTTTTCAGTTTGGCTGGAGCTAACCTCTTGAGAAGCAGTAGGTGGACATGCAGTTGTTTCTGGTTTGGCTGGAGCTAACCTCTTGACAAGCAGTCGGTGGACATGCAGTTGTTTTCAGTTTGGCTGGAGCTAACCTCTTGAGAAGCAGTAGGTGGACATGCAGTTGTTTCCGGTTTGGCTGGAGCCGACCTCTTGACAAGCAGTAGGTGGACATGCAGTCGTATCGGTTTGGCTGGAGCTAACCTCTTGAGAAGCAGTAGATGGACATGCAGTTGTTTTCGGTTTGGCTGGAGCTAACCTCTTGACAAGCAGTCGGTGGACATGCAGTTGTTTTCAGTTTGGCTGGAGCGACATGCAGTTGTTTCCGGTTTGGCTGGAGCCGACCTCTTGACAAGCAGTAGGTGGACATGCAATTTTTCTCGGTTTGGCCTCTTCACAAGCACTAGGTGGACATGGAGTTGTTTGACAAGCAGTAGGTTGACTTGCAGTTGTTTTCAGGTTTGGCTGAAGCCGACCTCTTGACCAGCAGTAGGTGGACATGCAGTTGTTTTCAGTTTGGCTGGAGCTAGCCTCTTGACAAGCAGTAAGTGGACATGCAGTCGTATCGGTTTGGCTGGAGCTAACCTGTTGACAAGCAGTAGGTGGACATGCATTTTTCTCGGTTTGGCTGGAGCTAACCGCTTGACAAGCACTAGGTTGACATGCATGTGTTGTCATTTTTGTCTGGAGCTGACGTCTTGACAAGCCGTAGGTGGACATGCAGTTGGTTTTGGTTTGTCTGGAGCCGACCTCTTAACAAGCAGTAGGTGGACATGCAGTTGTTTGACAAGCAGTAGGTTGACATGCAGTTGTTTTCGGTTTGGCTGGCTGGAGCTAACCTCTTGACAAGCAGTAGGTGGACATGCAGTTGGCTGGAGCTGCCTCTTGAGAGGCAGACGGTGTTGACAAGACTGCATGGCTTTCACTTTCCACTGTCATAGTCGCATGCTTGAGTTGCGCTGGAGCTGTGACGTCGAAAGCAAAGTGTTCGCAAGAACTTGGCTCGGCCCTGCTCCCGACGCTTCTTGCAGAGCTTGCGGCACTTGCACGTGGCATGCGGGAAGCCCAGCTATGGGATGTCTTGTGTGCTCCATGGTCCCCCGGCGTTGCTGTCTGTCGCGTCTGAGGTTGAGGAGCTTGATTTTGAGGGCAAATACCAGCGTGCCGTGGTACAAGAAGTACAACTGGTACAGCTTTGCGCTCTACCGGTACAAGGCAGCCCTGCGCCCTCTTGGTTCGCAGGGTCTTGTGAAAGCTGAGGTCTACGATGGCATTTGGCGAGTTGCAGCTACGGCAACCATAGGCCGGGTCAAAAGACAGGTCCGCACAGAGGCTAGCCGTGCTCTTGTACTTTCCTTCGCTCGCGCCAGACTTGCGAAACGCGTCCACCAACATGACTTGACATGATATGCCGTAGGAGCTATCGCCAGCCTTATTGTCATGTGGATGTGATATGCTGGGGATGCGTTTGATGCTGGGCATGCTTGGGGCACATCGGTTCCGATGTAAGGGTTCTTTGGCTGCCTCCGACAATACAAAAGGCGATGGTGCTGCTAACATCTGCGGTGCTGGGTGCTGCCTTTGTCTTGGAAAGCTACATGCTGCCGATGCGGGTGTTTCTGATCAGGAATCGGGGACGGACGCGAGTAGGCTATTGTTCGGGGCACTGAGTTTTAACAGCGTGAGGGAGTCTCACCATGTTGGGGATGCGGCGGATTCTTGGCATGCTGGTGGTGGTATAGTTTATTATGGGCACAGGTGCGAGGATTTGCAGTAGCAAGAGGAATTTGTGATGTCCATTTGTCATGACCAACCCCCGCAAAAAAGGGGTCAAACACGAAGGCGCTGTAACACGAACATTTCAGAGAAACAAATGACTGCTGCTCATGTTTGACGGTGCTGGAGATACCATGTGCTGGGAATGCTACAGTCACGGGCCCCTTCGGGAATCCATACGTGGATCCTGAGGTGCTTGCCTCTACTTGAGCGTTGTAGTGGTCCAGACCTGGAACGCATCTGTCCACCGAACCTGGCAGCACTACGCCCGGAAGGAGCTCTTTTGGATATCTTGGACGTTGCTCTCGGCTAAGTCCCAAGGGTCCCATCGGTCCCAAGGAGCGAGAGAGAGCCGAGCTCATGGAGTTCATCCGCCAGGCCTTGGCGCCTTGGCCGTAGCCAGCCCGACGCCTCTCTCGCGCGCTTAGGCTCGCGAGAAAGGCACGCTGCCGCCGAGCAAGGCGGGGGGCAGGGTGTTTCTTGCGCGGCATTGCGGGCACGGGGCGCTCTCGCGCAGGTCGCTGGCTTCGAGTGATCTCTCGAAGCCACATGTAGTTGGCGTTCGGGGGAGTGAATTCCTCGGGCAGAGTCACTGCCGCGCGGTTCTCCGTTAGTTTCACTCCAGTAAAATGGAAAGGGGTTGGCAGCCGGGGCTGCCAGGGTGGAGCTTTGCGGTATACGTTGGGCAATTGACATGCTTGGATGTCACATCGCGGCTTGGAGCGGCAAAGTCCAGATACAGGCGCTTGACCAACCTGCGTTTGGGGCCAAAGGTGTCCAGTCCCAATCGGAGCGACCTAGAGCAGAACTTCACCGACTCAACCCCCCCAAAACCCCAAAAAACAAGAAGCGGAAGCCTGAGATGCGCGCGACGTAGTCCGCGCCATGAGCGACGGATGGAGGAGGAGGCACCCAGCCGCATCAGCGTGGCCGTGCGCTGCCGCCCCCTCTCCGAGAATGCCCCTTCGAATGCAGTCTCTGGACATTTTCACATTCATTTCACACGAGAAATCCCGAGAATGCAGCCCAAAGGTCCCTTGAAGCCTGTTTCTGTAAGAAGGTATGAAGGTGTCAGTGTGGGCTTGGGGTGGGCTGGCTCCAGTGCTGTTTGAGGAGCGGAGCAACATGGTGCACAGCATTTGCCGAGTTATGGACAGACGGCTGGTGATCCTCCTTGATCCAGGCTGATCCAATCCATGTTTAAATACTTTTATGCTCTTGGATGCACGAATTCCTCTGTGTTTGAAGCTTCGCGAGCAGCCGCTGGCCATGCCAAGCCAAGCTTGCCTTAGAGTCTAAGAGACACAGCATGAAGCAAGGTGAACCAGTAACACACAGTTTCGGCATGCGTTTTGCAGGCGCATCAGCAGCAAATGACTACCTCCGACAAGACAAGTCGAAGGAGAAGCGGTTTGCCTTTGATCAAGCCTTTGGCTCCGATGTGGACACACAGACGCTTTTTCAAGCAACGGCTGAGCCGCTGATAAAGTCGGAGACTCCACTAAATTCAGCCTTACTAAAAAAAAAAAGCAATCAACATTTGGTGGCTGTCGCTTTCAGTCGCCCTTGTTTTGAGCCTAAAACCTGCAAGGTTTTGCAAGGCTACAACGCGACCGTTTTCGCGTATGGCTCGACCGGTGCAGGCAAGACCTTTACAATGATAGGGACGCCATCTGAGCCTGGCATCATGTTCCGCTCAGTTGAAGAGATATTCCGTGGCGGCGATATTTTGTCCTGCTCCGTTTCTTGCTCCTTCGTGGAGGTCTACAACGAGAATTTGCGTGACCTGGGTTCCAGTGACATTAGGGAGGGTATGCTTGACTTGCGCGAGGATCCGGTAACCGGAAGCTATGTCGCAGGCATCACGGAGATCCAGGCAGAGTCCGTTCAGGAAGTGATGGACTTGCTCCAGCATGGCAACGGGCGCCGCACGACAGAGCCGACCGCTATGAACGTCACCTCATCGAGGTCTCACGCGGTGCTGCAAGTGAGGGTCGAGCGGCGCCAGGGCTCGGGAACGCTCATGGGCAAGCTCTCCATGATAGACCTCGCAGGCTCCGAACGAGCCTCAGAAACCAAAAACAGCGGCGTGCGGCTGCTGGAGGGAGCCAACATCAATCGATCTTTGCTGGCCCTGGGCAATTGCATCAATGCCTTGGCATCTGGATCACACTTTGTACCATACCGGGACTCAAAATTGACCAGGCTGCTGAAAGATTCGCTCGGGGGCAACTGCCGGACAGTCATGGTCGCGAATGTGTCCCCAAGTCATTTGAGTTACGAGGACACGCTGAACACATTGAAGTACGCCAACCGCGCCAAGAACATCCGGGTGCGAGCCAAGCAGATTTTGGTCACTCCAGATGAGCATGTCAGTGAATACGAGCACGCCATCTCCGACTTGCGGAACGAAGTCTCCCTTCTGAAGTCCAAGCTGGCACAGAGGAGTGCCGTCCCGGATGCCGTCGAAGGACGGACTCTGGCACGGGGCGAAGTGGTCAGGAAAAATCGGGAAGGTGGTAGGTAAGGGGAGTTAAGGGGGCTTAGGGCTTAGGGCTTAGGAGGGCTTAGGAGGGGAGGCAAAAGCGAGGCCGGGTTTGAGCTGGAAATACCGGCCCATGGGGCCATCCCAGTGCAGGGGACGAGAACGTGCTGAAAGAGGCGAGCGAGAACTGGAAGCTCGAGGTGATCCGAAACCTCGAGGGCCGCACATCTTTACAACGCCGCTTCGGTCTTCGGAGAAAAGAAGAGAGGAAGACGAGAAGAAGAAAAAGAAGAAGAAGAGAAGAAGAGAAGAAGAGAAGAAGAGAAGAAGAGAAGAAGAGAAGAAGAGAAGAAGAGAAGAAAGGAAACGGAGACACGTCACGCAGCATGTTTGTTTTTTTTGTGGCCTTCGGGGCACCGCGGCGCGCTCGGTTTTCAGGTTCTTTGATCGACGTGGAGCGCGGCCTGGCTCAGTGGAGGGTGGAGCTTGATCAAGCCAAGGAGAGTCTCGCTGCAGATTGGCTGACAATGACAGCAAAACCGCAGAGCACTTGACTTCGCCAGGAGATCATTCAGCACTGGGAGGCGCGATCTGAGAGCCCTTCCAGCCGTCGCTCCTTGGCCCTTCGGTACCCTTTCCCGTCCTCACCCAAAAGTTTTCGGGAAAGGTCACGACACAATGGCACAGTGCAAAAGCTCGAAAAGCTTTTGGCACTCTGAGGCTCAGATGCCAGGTCTCTGGAAGACTGGAGGGAGGCCATTGCGCAAATCGAAGAGAACATCAAGGCACGAACTGGTCATGTGACGGGATCAACGCTGGTCAAAGGCTTTGCAAGGGCCGAATTCTGCTTTGATCGTGGCCAGGAGAACAATGAGACCCGAAGATCGTTGGCAGAGCGACTGCAGCAGAACAAAACGGCAGGCCGGCCTGACCCGTCAAGCTGTGCCCTGGGTCGCGCTTGCTTTCAACTAATGGCTTATGGTCCACTTATGGTACTTCGGGTGGAACCTTGCATGTTGCAAAGAAATTTCAGAAAGAGGGTTCTTAGGTTTATTGGATATGTTCCAGCCTGGCCATTGAGTTTGCTCGTGCGGAGCCGTAGAGCCTCCACATAGACTCAACGCCTGCTCACGTCCTTGCCCACATGCTCGCCTTCACGGCCGTTCCGTCATTGCTGCGACGGCGACTACGGCTACTACCAGTAGAGCCGGCGAAGCCGGCGGAAGTTTCCAAAATATAAGAATTCTGGTTATCTTTCTTGCTCCTTTGCTCTTTCTCTTTTTCTTTTCTTTTCTTTTCACCTTCTCTTCCATATCTTTCTGGTTTGCTTCCTTCCATTTATCTATTTGTATAGCTCTCCTTCTGTTTATCCCAGCTAGCTATTCATTTGTTTGTCTATCTATCCATCTATCCCACTATCCATCTATCCATATATCCATGTATTTACGTTTCTTTCTTTCTATCTTGCTTTCTTAGCTATCTATCTACCTGTCTATGAATCAATCAATCAATCAATCAATCAATCAATCAATCAATCAATCAATCAATCAATCAATCAATCAATCAATCAATCAATTAATCAATTTATTCATCTATCTTCTGAAAGTGCTGCGCCTGCCACCAAATCTGAACCTGACGTTGCGAAAGTGCTGCGTCTGCCCTGAAGTCCGTACCACGTGATCCGAACAGTATCCGAACGCGGTTCGATCTGGCGCCGCGATCAGGCTAACTTTCGAGCTTCCAAAGGAACGAGTACCATCTCCTTTTCCCCCGCCACACTCGCATGCACTTTTTCACCCGTGCTGATTCTTCGCTTGTCAGAGAGCTAGCTTTCAATTAGTTGCAAGTTCCTTCTAACTACTACTGCTACTTCTACATTTACTACCACTACTACTACTACTACTGCTACTACTACTTCTTCTTCTTCTACTTCTAACTGCCGCACGCTTTCGTAGCACCCCGCATGGCCAGTTATCAAATCTGTTCCGCGCCGCTCGGCAAGAAAGCCGCGTAGCCTCGCTCAGGAGTACACGCAAACTGTGTTGTTCGGAGTTTCAGCTCAGCTTGATTGAGGCCGGGAGCTGCAAAAGCAGCTGTCGCAGCGGGTGCTCAACCAAGATTTGCGCGCCTTTTTGGAGCTGATCCAGCGGGTGCAGGCGGGGTTTGGGGGATTTGGGGGATTTGGGGGATTTGGGGATGTGGGACGGTGCTTCGGAGTTTTGCTCGCCAAGTGCACGTTTTGCAGCTCTTCAAACCGGCTTTCAGAAATTTACGAGCGATTGAAGTTGAGATGTTTGGCACTGAATTTGGCCTTTTTCGTGCAAAACGCGGGACGCGGGATCTGTCTGTTTCAAGTGGGCTTTAAACGTGGAAAACGTGGTAGGTGTTGGAAGTGGAGCGCCTGGAGCTGGATCACTTCTGGGAGATCCACCGCCAGCAGCTCGAGCAGCGCGACCAGGCGGGATCGGCCGTCCGGGATCCGGGATCCGGGCCGACGTGTCTTTCTTTTGACTCATTCGAACGTTCTTTTGGGAATTTTGGAGTGAAAGGGAAAGACTAGTGAACAGAGACGAAAGAGGTGAGGGAAGAAAGAGAGAGTGAGAGATCTCCAGAGAAAGAAGGAGAGAAAAACGGAGAGAAAAAACAACAACATGTTAAGATCAAAGGGCGTCAAATGAGACAGACCGAGTGATGGAGTTGGAGGGATGGAGTTGGAAGAGAACAAGTGCTGAAGACAAACTAAATGTGAAGGGGTGGGTGCCAAGTTCTTAAAAGACGCTTTCAGCAAAGGTTAGCAAAAGAACTGGTGGCAAGGAGTTGTGAAGAGTGAGAAGGTGAAGGGTGTGAACAGTTGAGGTGAAAGGATGCTCAGAGCAGCTCTTGAAAAAAGAAGACGCTTTCCATCTGGCAAGGGAGAAAGGGAAGGAGTTGCGGGGAAGGGCGTGCCGTTAGGAGATTGCGATGCTCCGCGAGCAGCTTCGTCTCCGCAACAGCCACATCCAGCAGCAGCGCCAGCAGCTCTCAAAGGAAAAGGTCCCTGGCGCCTCGGAACATCTTGACACGTTTTGACACGTAGAAAGACGGTTGGTAGAAGTTAAAACTACGCGGACTTTAAGCCAAGTTGGAAAGACGCGCACCGAGGGCACGTATTTCTGCTGGGCAGTACCTTGGCGGAGTCCTCGCCTGTGCAGCAACGGGGGCCCTTACGGGTGATGCAAGCTTGGGCACCTGCGTGGCTTGGCTTCGGAGACCCGTTTCGGGCCCGTTTCGAACTTGGGCGGACGTTTGAGGAATGGCCGGTGCAGGTGCGGCGAGTGTGTTCCATCCAAGTTTGCTTCTTTGGCCCGGGGTGTCCATTTAGATTGAGCTGGTTTGGATGGTGCTACAGGGCTGGCGACAGCACTAGCCTTCAATCGTCAAAATTCTAAGAACGCGCTCAAGTGCCCAGTTGGATTCCACTCACAAAATCGGAGTTTGATTCGTTTGTTCTGCTTGGTGCTTGTCCCAAGGCGAGAGGAAGACGAGGACCGCGGAGCATCCCTGGAAGAGGCTGAGGACTTCTCATTGCAAGACAAGATCAATTGGAGAGCGCTCGAGGCGAAGGGTCTGGCTTCTGACTTGCCAATTGACTTAACGAAGTCGCCAGGTGCCATTGGCTTCACAGATCAAGGGCTTGGCGCAGCTGCAGCAGAATGCGGGCACCTCCCGACTTTTTGCCGCCAAGGCATGTCACAGAGAGCAGGTTCGCTCGAGTCGCGCGTGCTTACGCAGGCCCTGCGCAGCATCCCGGAGTCGCGTCCTCGCCGGCCCCTGGCGCTGGCGCAGGGCGGCGTGGCCCTCCCTCCAGCCCGACCACAGCCCCGAGAGCCCCGAGAGCCCCGAGAGCCGCGAGAGCCGCGAGAGCGAGAGCGGGAGTCAGGAGATGTTCAAAGTCAGAGCCAATGCAACAAATGCAACACATATCAACACATGCAATGCATGCACGAGACGGCAGGAAATGCTTCTCCATCCCAGATGCGTGGCAGTACCTGCCCTCCTTTGCGGCGCAAGTCCACCTTGGAGGCCCGGCTGCTCTCGGCTCGGCTCGGGCATGCGTGCGGTGCCAGGCTCCGGCCCGTCAACCCTCCGTGGGCGACATGCGCAGCCCCCCACGCGGCCTGCTGCGAGCACATGGTGTCGCTGTACCGCAGCGGCAGCACCTCGGAGAGTTTAGGCGCGCAGAAGTGTAGTTTTATTTGTTATTTTTATATATTTGTTTTCTCTCTCTCTCTCTCTCTTGCGCACCTCAGCAGTTTCCCATTGCCCAAGTGCCCTAGGCTTGACAAAAATGTGGGCGCCCGCGACAAGAGCCGCGCCCGTGCTCGCAGTGAGCATTCGAGACTGGGCCGTATCGGCCGCAGTCTTGTGACTCCAGGCCGTTAATTCGTGCGCCACATATGTTGGCACAAAAGGGGGACACTGTCGACTGTATGTGCGAGTGACATGTTGTACGATTTGGTTGAAGCAGAGTGAGAAGGACATTGTTAAACATGGAGCTGTTGATGCCAGCCCGGATGCCAGTTTGTTGGGCACCGACGCTCAGCGCCAAATTGTGTTCGGTTTCACCCTCACCAGATCATGCCATGCGTGCCAGGCGGAAGCTGGGCTTGGCTGTGGCTGCGTGGCAGTCATGAGGAAAAACGGAGCTCGAAGCAACATGAAGCAACATCAGGCAGCGTCAAGCAACCGTGCCTTGGTGCCGGCTATCTTGCAATCTCTGGATGCTTCATGTTGTGTGGCCAAGCACCCCTTGGCCGAGAAGCCCTGCCATGGGTTCAGCGCCAATGCGTGCAGATGCAAGATCAGTGCAGCTGCGAGATCCACAAGCCAGAATCTCAGAATATCTCAGACGCTGAGCGGCCATCCTGTCCCACTCGTTGATCTCTCTTCCCATTCCTCAGTTGACATAGGATGGTGACACGAGGGCAGAGCCTTTCCTCTCGATCGTCCTTCATCACTTCTCCAATCATCTCCTTTTCATTTGTTGACTTTTGAGACAAAGGAGATGAGAAGTGAGAAAGAGATGGCCAAGCCTTTCACTCTTCTTGGGGGACCTTGGAGAGTGGAAGAGGATTGAGAAAAGGTAACCAAATGAGAGACAATGAGTTTCTTTCCCATGCTCTCATTCCTTCTCCGTCTCTTTCCTTAGCATAATTCCCTTCATCCCGTTGGCTTCTTTACTGGCCAATGGATAGGGTGAGAAAGGGAGATGCTAGAAAGAGATGGCATGGGCTTTATGATTGTGGCCGCTGTGTCCATCATTCTCATTATGCCGCCTCATCCATAAAACAATGGCTGGGTGGCTTCAAGAGAAATGGCCACATAAGCCCAAGCTCAAAGCCTCAACTTGTGCACCCGAGGCCAAGAGCGAAGGACGCGAAGGAAGCGAAGGGAGCCCGAGCTCGAGCTGGTGGTGTTGCCTAGCGGACGTCAGCTCTGACACAGACTTCGTGGACGCTCGAAGTATTGTCGGGCTGTTGCGGGAGTTGTCGCCTGGCAAGCCGTCAGCCATCGTCAGCCTTTGAACTTTGAGGTTCGGAGTTGGCATGGAAGCTGACCCAGGTTCGAATTGCAAGATCTGAATTCCAACGGGTTCCTGGAAGAGTCCGAGCTTATTGAGCTCAACCTGATCATTGCCAGCTTGCACTACGGAAACGTTGATGACGCCTTGCTGCATAAGAAGTACCAGGCGCTCTTCCGCAGCTCGGCACACTTGCCTTTCGGCATGCAGCCATGGCAACGATTGTCAGGTCAAAACTTGGACCCCCACGGCAAGCCGGTGCCCTTCCGCATATTCCGGCAACACATGATGAAGGCACGGACGGCCATAGCTCTAGCGCATCCCCACATCGGTAGGGAGGTGTTGGAAGCAAGGCCAGCGGCAGTCAGCTAGAATGCCTGGGCTGGAGGTGCTTGATGACCATGATCCTGACACCATAGCACAGGAAATGATTGTGGAACAATTCATCGCATCTAGGCAGCCCTGGTTGTGTCAGGTGCAGATGCTTACATCAAGGTTTTCCTTCTGTAGCATTCCAACCACGGGCGCGTTGGGCCCATCTGTGACCTAGGCTGAAGCGCAGCTGGCCCGGAAGTTCCTCGGAATTCGGAAGTTTTGCTAGCGCCCGACGCCGAAAGCGGCACCGCGGCACCGCGGCACCGCGTGGCCCCGTGCGAGCACGAGGCCGAGGCGCGATACCCCAGAAGCGGGAAGCGCGGGAAGTGTACAGAGCCCTCGAGAGAGGCCAAGGGCCAGACCCAACAATTGAATGCTGAGCTTCAGCGCGCTTGAGAACTCGAAGGGATGGATTCCGGATGGATGTCCCGACGTCCTCATTCGGAGGAGGGGCAATTTAATTGAGAGTTGTGTTTCTCATGATCCCTAGCAGGGTATCATTCAGATGAGTCAATCTGAAGCACAAATCACTTTCACATGTCACGTGTTTGGAATCAAGCGCCGCCAACAATTATTTTTCGACAATCAGGAATCCGAACACTCAAAGCCACCGAGTGACAATCAAGGATGCGTTTGTTGTTTTTCTCGACTAATCGTCGACATGTCCTCATTCGATCCGGAAGAGGCTGTGACAGGACCTGAGTTGTGGCTCAAGCTCTTTTTCTTGTGGCCTGTGGCGGATTCGCCAGATCCTCGACATGATTTGTTACGTGCCGTTGGCATCTCAGACTGAGGCTTCCACGTGCCGAAGCATACGTGAGATCGTGCCCTGGACCTCCGAGTGACCCTTGGCAAAGCGCGCGCACAGATCAGCCAAGGCAAAAATGGCTGCAACAGCCATTTCCAAGGCGGGATAGAATCGATAGTGTGCCTTGCGCAGCGCAGAGGGTTGAGACCCCCCCCCCCTCGAACCCGCTGTGCAGGCAAGAGCCGACGCATTGCTCACAGAGCTGAGCCAAGGCAACAAGTTGCGAAGCCCCTTTTGATTTTGCCCCGACGCAAATTGCCAGGTTTTGGTGCTCCGACCTCAGCACTTTAATCGCCGGAGCTTCGTGCCGTTTAGAAGGTCGACCTTTCACGCGGCACCAGGCCAGATCCTTCCAGAGGAAAATCCAGCTGCTGGCGGAGAAGTCGGAGTGCGGAAAGCCAAAGGACCGAAGTGCGTCGAAGTGCGTCGAAGTGCTTCGGAGTGCTTCGAAGTGCTTCGAAGTTCATGGAAAATCAGAGATATTCAGAAAATGTTCATCTCCGGCAAGTCAGGAGCTCGCCCAAGTGCCTGGCATGCAGAGCTTGGCTAAGCGAGTGTACTGTGAGGCACCTCTTGACTCTCTCTCCGGATTCGAATCGAATGATTCGATGGCCAGGTCTTTCAGCGCTACGGTCATAGCCTCAGCATGCCTCAGCTCTCTCGCTCTCTCGCTCTCTCTCTTGTCTGGCGAAGCAGCCTGTGACAGGCTTCAGCAGCGACGACTCGTTGGTTGTTGTGTTGGAGAGCCTGCGGGGGACTGAATCGCCGCTTCCCTCTTCTCTCATTCTCTCCTTTCCTTTCCATCGGATGGCCTCCAGGTTGGCCGTCCATCCGCAATTGAAGGCGCAGGCCGGGCCGGCTGGCCCCTCAGCTGACACGGCCCCGTCCTGTCCAGGTCAATCAGCTTTGGCAGGTTCTGGGGCTTCATAGGGACGAGGACTGGCAACCGGGTACCCGGAAGGGTCCCGAATGGTCCCGAGAACTGAGAAGCCGTGCTGCAAGCTTGCTCCCGGCAAATTGCAGGAAGCCAAGGAGACGAAGGCAGGGAGCGAGTGATCAGCTTTCAGCAACAGATCAGCCCGTGTATGATGCTGGCCAAACGGGCCCGATCAAACAGCCCGCGGCATTTACAGGAACTCACTGCCAAGAGCAAATTCGATGCACGTGATGAGCACTCTGTGATACACGCTACCTCTCAGGGCCTAGCGCCGACATTTGCAAACCTGCGCAACGAGCCGGGATGAACAGGGCGCTTTATCTGAGGCGAATGTGGCGCCATGAGGCTTTGGCTGGCTGAATGCGTGGCAACTGCCGCCGCTGGCGCCGCTGGCGCGGCAGGCGCCGAGATGGACATCTCGCAGCTCACGGTGTCCATGGTCTCAGAGGTTTTGGCCGGTGACGTCCTGGACATCCGCAGCTCGCGGGAGCGACAGTTGCTGCGCCTGGGAAACACTGGCACCGGCACGCCCGAAGCTCACAGCGCGGCCCGGAGTGCACGGAGAGTGAGTGGATACTCGAGCCCCCGTCGCCAACACTCAGGCGGCCAAGTCTGCGTTGGAGGCCAAGGTCTTGAAGCAGATGATTTGGTGGAAGGCCGGCTGAACTCCGGCATTTGAGGCTGAATAGCTGAATAGCAGCACGCATGACGGCACAGCTGTGAGAGGCAGCGCCGGAAGATGTGCAGAGGACCAGATCGGTCAGACAAAAGCTTGCGCTTGGCTTACTTGCAAGCTTTGCATGGACAGGAGGACCCAGACCCCGGATAAGAACATGACGGTGGCAGATGTTTGGACGCTGGAGGGCGAGCACATTCCATCTCATATGGTTCGCAACGGGCACTTGCTTCATGTGGAGGAGTCACCCAACATGCTGCCTCTGGGTGTTTGCTTCACAAAGCACCACGTAGTTTTTAGCGGGCAGGGGGGCCATCCAAGCTCAAGGCACAAGAAACCATTCACGTGGGTGCCTTTGCTCGGCTAGACGGCAAGAGCCACACTTCACCAAGAGCATGCTGGAATCTTGCTCCCTCATGATCCTCATGGACTCACCGCGTCACAGGAATCCCATTCCAATCCGAGGAGTACCCAGCGCAGGGAGACATTTTGTCGGTGGCAGCAGCCCATGCTAAGCGCGAGCAGCTGCGGGAGCTGCAGGCCATGCTGACGGAGACGGAAGCGCCGGGGCTCAGAGCGCGAATTTCTTCTCGCCGGGCTGCTTGTTTCGCTTCTTTGCTCGTTTTATTCGCCCATTGTTTACAGTCCCATCCTTGGACTAATTCACTGGAACTCTTTTTTTCTCGTGGGCATGGCACATGCACGCAGCGTGCTGCCGTCCAGCATTCACGTTCTTGTTCACACCAGCACCTTTGGAACAGCCGCTCCCCAATGAGATAGGGTCCTGGATGTCATGCTGCAAGGCCCTATATTTGTGTATATCTGAAGTCAGCAGGCCAAACATGGAATGCAACTGGCCAGATCAGTCACTCACTAAGAGTTTGATAGCTTGTGCGGAACACTGTTATGTTGTGCGCATGTAGGCAGATGTGCTTTGCGGGGGGGAGGCTTCAGAAGTGAACTGCTTGCCGGTTTCTGTGCAAACGACAACGGAAAAATACTATGAGGGCAAGCCGGACAAGCCGAACAAGCCGGACAAGGCCAAGAACGCTGGATCAGCTGGATCTGGCGCCGTGGCACTGGCGCTGTTGGCCGGGGTCTTCGTCACTTGTCTGAGCCGACCTGATGGCGCATGGCTTGCGTTTCGTTTCGGCTCGCGAAACGGACTCTTCGACTTCGGTCTGAGGTGGTGCTGTCACTTGGCGTTTGGAAGCTGAGCCAGCAGGCGAAGCGCAAGGCCAAGAGCACGTAATCTGGAGAGTCGGAAAGCCGAATGCGGAGACAAAAGAGATCAAAAGAGATCAAAAGAGAAAAGCGGGAAAAGCGAGGCTGCGTTGGCTAGGCATGTTGGACAGATGTGTCTGAGTCGCGTTGGCTAGGCACCTGTGCCTGGGCCTCAGTTGGCCTGAGATGGCGCACGTGCGCAAGGGGGACTCGCGACGGCCAGGCCGGTCAAGTTGCCAGAGAGCACTACAGCAGGAAAGGCCCCAGCCCAGGCAAGCGCAAAGTTGCCAGTTCTGTCGGGTCTTTTGAGCGTGAGGCCACAGTCAAGTTGAAAGCTGAGTTGAGCGATGTTGAGCGAGTGAGTGACACTGCATTTTTGCGCATTGCATGGAATTGTGTGGGTTGCATGTTTGATCATGCCCGCCTCTGCCGTGAGTGGCCCAAAGCAGACCATTCCTCGAGCCCCAAAGTGGGAACATGGTCCAGCCAAACAGTTTTGCTGCATGCAGGACTTGGGGGCATTCGGCCGCACGTATTATGTACAGCTTGGCTTATACAGTCCTGGCAGAACAGAGGTCAATGATTCATGACTTAGCAAGCCAATCAGGCATCCGGTAGATGCGCAAAGCACCACTTTCATTCACTGGGCCTTTCGGAGTGAACGGCTCAGGACTCGTATGAGCTGGTGGTGACCTCGCCCAAAGTTGGCGACCTGTGCGCGGGCTCTAGCTATGCCACGGACGCTGGGCAAAAATGGACATGAAGCCCAACAGGACAACACACAATGACAGGAGGCACTGTTCGCAAAACGGTCGCCTGACGCTTTATGCACTCTCTGTCTGCATTCTCAGGACGCGTCGCTGCCTCAGAGCCTCACAGCGGCTCTGACGGCTCTGACGGCTCTGACGGCTCTGACGGCTCTCACGGCTCCGAGGTTCTTGGAGCCTCCCCTGGTGACATGGCAGCCGACAAATGACCCAAATGACCAAAATGGCTGCATGCCTTGTGCACATGCGCACGGACCCCGACTGGATGCCCGGACCATCCCGGATTTCCCGGCCAGGACCTCTTTTGCTTGATCATCCGATGCGTCTCGGAGCAGAAAGAGCACTGCGCCTGGCTGGTGGCCAACATCCCCGGTGAGGCCGTTCCAGGAAGGCGTGTCGTGTGAACTGGATTGGCCCGAGGACCTGGAGCCTGGCCGGTTCGGACTGGCGGGCAACTGCGAGGCGGTGGGCCGCGGACAGGACGCGGAGACTCGGAGACTCGGAGACTGAAGGCAGTGAAGGCAGTGAAGGCCTTCTCTCAGGAGCTTCTGGCATACGAGCTCCCCTCGCAGTTCGATGTCTTTAGCGCCCTGCTCTTCAGCCAGCCTGCCTGGCTTGAGGCTGGAGATTGTGGGGGGATGGGGCCCTGCGCCGCTAGGCCTTTTTGCAAGCAAGAAACCGACTGCGGTTCATTGGCTGTCGTGCCCACATCGCTTTGAGGCCAAAAACTTTGACAGGGACTTGGACTTGGAGAACTTGAGCACGCAGTGCCGGCTGCGGCGGCTTGCGTGCCTGGACGTGCGAGTGGGGGCTGACACGGACTATGCGCAGCCCATGCACAAGCCCAAGGCGTTCAGCTCCGGAGGCGCTCGCATCACTTTGCCGTTTGCTGTCCTTTGCTGTCCTTTGCTGTCCTTTGCTCTCCTTTGCTCTCCTTTGTGCTCTCTCTCTCTCTCTCTCTCCGACTCTATCCCTTCCTGGCCCTCTCACACCTTCCGTGCCCGCGAGGAACTCTGATCCAGAGCGGCCCGCAAACGCTTACGGCAGCTCTCGAAAAGACAGCCGCTTCTTATCCCGACCGTGGGCTGACGCTTTACAGTGCGGACGGCACCGAACGCCTGACTTTCGCTCAGCTCCTGGAACAGGCGCAGAAGATCTCTGCCGGGCTTTGCTTCGAGAAGATCCTTGATCATTCCTGGACTGTGTCGTACCCTGAGCACGATGTTAGTTGTCGCCGCGCCGCCTAGGATTGGACAAGCTTCCTCCGGCCCATGCTCTGCCGTCCTGCAGGCCCGCATTGGGGGGTTTTCACGTGCTCGTAACAGCCTTGTGACGCAGGTGCCGCCCTTGGCCCTTCACTTCCCATGCTTCTGGGGATGCTTGCTCTCGGGAACGCGGCCGGTAACAGTCGCCATCCCTCCGGCAGCTTGCTCGAATTGATTGCCCCCCCCGTTTGCATGTCATTGCATGCCGTTGCAACTTGTTGCGGGCCTCTTTTCAGGACTATTCTGACAAGCGCCACGCAGTGTGCAGCAAGTTGTGCAATGTGTGGCACCTACTGGAGCAGCCTCCCATCATCACGGTGGTGGCCCATCTCGAGAAGGTCCGGCTCTTGAACTTGAGTGCGCAGCTCATCTCAGTGGAAAGGCCCGCAATTTGCCGGAATCGCAGCCAAACCGACACATGACACGTTGCTAGATGTTGCTAGCAAACATTAGCAAACGTCAAGCTGAGAAGCGAGACTCGAGCTCGAACCTTTGGGGCGGAAAGCAAGGCAGACCAAAAGCGCCAGGCTTTTGGAGACCGAGACGGAATCTTGGCGCTTCCGCTGCATCTGGGCCATGCGATGCCATGCGTCAGCCCTGAATCCTTGGCTTGGCGTTGAACGACGATTCAAGGAGATGGCAACCTCAGCCTCCTGACGTAGCATTCTACCAGCTGCTTTGCGGGAATCATAGCATGCTCACTCTGGGCAGTTTCGCATACAGGCCCCACCGCTATTCTTTATTATTATCATTCTGCCTTCTCCTCCGCTCTTTCCTTCTGTCCTCCTTTCCTTCCTTCATTTGTTAGGTTATCTTTCCTGGTTCCTTCCTCACCCTGTTCATTCTTTCCTCCCTTCCTGCTGTGATTCTTGGTTCTTTCCCCCCCCCGCTCTCTCCCCCTCTCTGTCCCTCTCTCTCCGGTTAAAATCACACGGTTGTTTCCTACAAAGTGCTGTTGTTATCAAAAGCAGTCAAGACTGTTGTCTGCATAAATCTACTTGTCCATGGGGCACGCATGCAGTAAGACTCAAGGCCCGCGGTAGTGCACACAATGCGCATCAAGCAAGTAGGGTACCCTGTACATTGACATCTCCCTCCTCTCTCTCGCTCTCTCTCTCTATATTTCTGTCTTTCTGTCTTTCTTTCTTTCTTTCTTTCTTTTTTTTCTCTCTCTATTTCTGTCTTTCTTTCTTTCTTTCTTTCTTTCTTTATTTTTTTTCTCTCTATATTTCTGTCTTTCTTTCTTTCTTTCTTTCTTTCTTTTTTTCTCTCTCTCTCTATGTCTGTCTTTCTTTCTTTCTTTCTTTCTTTCTTTCTTTCTTTCTTTATTTTTTTTCTCTCTCTATTTCTGTCTTTCTTTCTTTCTTTCTTTCTTTCTTTTTTCTCTCTCTCTATTTCTGTCTTTCTTTCTTTCTTTCTTTTTGTTCTCTCTCTATTTCTGTCTTTCTTTCTTTCTTTCTTTTTTTTTCTCTCTCTATTTCTGTCTTTCTTTCTTTCTTTCTTTCTTTCTTTCTTTCTTTCTTTGTTTCTTTTGTTTCTCTCTCTCTCTCTATTTATGTATTTCTTTCTTTCTTTCTGTCTTTCTTTCTTTCTTTCTTTCTTTTTTTTCTCTCTTTCTTTCTTTCTTTCTTTCTTTCTTTCTTTCTTTCTTTCTTTCTCTCCTCTCTCTCTCTCTCTGTCTCTGTTTGTCTCCACTGCTCCTTGGTGTCGCTCTCTGCTTTTCGTTTGCTTGTCTCAGCGTTGTGGTGCGCTTTGCTTCCCTGTCGTTCCGTCCAAGGCTCAGCAGCGGCTCCACCGGCGTGCCAAAGTGCATCCAGATCGCCCACCGAGGCGACGCGGACGCAGCACTCCGACTCTTTATCGACGCGTTCGATAGGATGGGAACTAGGGCGTCACTGGGGGGTTCATCCGATTTCACTCTCGCTGCGCGGTTGATTCAGCGACAAGAAATAACGGTGCCACATGATGCCCCCTTTGGCCCCACATGGCGAAACCGGTGCTCAGCACAAACTCTCCAAGCTTGAATGAAAAGCTGTTACATGTGACCGACGTTCGTCATCGTTCGCTCGGGTACCGAAGCCAGGGGTTGTGGCGCACATCCAGGGGGAAGCGCAGTTCTGCGGATTTGGGCCGGCAGACGTCCACGTGAACTTCTTACCCTTGGACCACGTTGTTCCCATTCTGACAGCACCTCAGCGGCAAGCGGGCGACTTGCATTGAACACATTGGCTCATTGGGTTGGCCGAAGCAAAGGCATGCGGGGCAGCTCAGGGGAAGCCAAGATAGACCATACTGTTTCCACAGACCTGTTACAGTTTACAGCTGGCGGGGGCATGTTTACGCTAATCTGTCCTGATTGTGCTTTGCAGGCATATGTACCTAAGCCGTGGTTTTGCGTGTTTGACGTCTTTTCGTTGTTGTTGTTTTTTTCTCCTCTAGTGCTCCTCTAGCGCTGCTCTAGTGATCCTCTAGTGATCCTTTAGTCACACTCCAGAGATCCTCCAGTGATCTTCCGGTGCTCCTTTTGTGCTGACACTCTACAACTAGCTGGCCAGAACCTCTAAATAACTTGCGCGCACCCCACACATTCCTCTTGTGCCTCTACTGCTCCTCCGCAGATCCTTTAGAATCCTCTAGTGCTCTGCTAGTGATCTTCGCGTGATCCTCTAGTGCTCCTCTAGTGCTACTCTAGTGCTCTAGTGATCCTCCAGTGATCCTCTAGCGCTCGCCTAGTGATCTTTTAGTGATCCACCAATACTCTTCTAGTGATTCTCCAGCGCTCCTACTGCGGCCACCCCACAGATTCCTGATTGCATTTTGCATTGGATGCTCCAACTTTGCCTGGCAGCCAAGTGTTTGCAAGGCACCGCGCTCATCGATTGGGCCCCTGTTCAGTATGCATCGCTGCGCCTCTGCATTTCATGGCCCCGCCTCCAACGCGCCAAGCAGAAGTAACTAGAAGCTGGCTTCATCAACAACATCAGCGGGTGGTCGCCAGCAAACGGCACCGGCGACGGGAACAAGCTTTCCTCATGTTGACTGGCCTAGGCAGTGCTTGGAGCCTCTAGGATCCTTTAGTGGCTTGGCCGCTTTCGCAAGGGCTCGTGTCACGGGTCAGGTGCACTGCTGCGATGTGTTCCACGGGTGCGAAGAGGTCCAGGCGGAGGTGGGCTACGTCTTGGCGGAGCCTTTGCGGTGGCTGCATCTGGTGGACCAGCACCGGGCCACGAGGACCTGGGCGCCCAATTTCGCGCCCGGAGCCGCAGTGCCGTGCCGAAGTCCGTCCAAAGTCCGAAGTTCGAAGCGCAGCTACCAGTTGCCGTGAGCGGGAGTCGAGTTTTAGGTTTAAGCTGGTGGCAGATGCTCTGCAGAAAGAGCTGGACAAGGAGCTGGACATAGACCTGTCCTGCTGCAAGTTTTGGATGAACGCTGGGGAGCTAGGGCCCAAGCATTCAGTGCATTCAGCGCCTCGCGCGGCGCTCTCACAGGCAGGTCACCATCCCTGTCTGCGAAGCCTTCTTGGAGCAGACTGCCAGATATGGGGTGCCGCGGAATTCCATGCAACCGTCCTTTGGCATGGCCGAGGCAGGCAGCGGCCTGGCCTGAATGGCATGCAAATGCGGCATGTTTGCACAGGCTTGCACGTGCATGACCTACAACAACGACTTTGCAGTGTGGCGCTCAGCGCGCGCTATGCTGATACTTGGCCATGGAGTTTCTGCTTCGCTTCCAGGCTGCCGCCGCCAGCCGCCTGGGCCGCTCAGCTTTTGTGAACCTGGGGCCTCCTGTGCCTGGCATTGAGATCCGCATCGCGAGCGAGGAGGGCGAGACCTTGGCGGAGGAAGAGGTGGGCCGCTTTCAGATTCGAGGCGGGGCATGCCGAATACACAGAGTCTGAGCCAAACTGGCGAGCAATTGGTGCTTAGCGAGGACCAGTGATTACGCCTGGCTATCTCAACAATGCGGAGGCCAATAGAGAAGCCTTTGTGGAAGGGGGCGATTGGTTCAACACCGGGGACGTTGGCTTCATCAAAGCTGGGTGCCTTTACCTCACTGGTTGGACCCTGAGCTGTGCCAGCCTTCGCATTGCCATTGGCAGACTTTGACACAGACTGACATTCTTTTACTAAGGCAGGGAGAAAGAGATGATCATCATCCGTGGTGCCAACTTTTATTGCTACGAGGCCATGTGTGGGCTGCACCTGCATCGCACTGGCTGCAATCGAGGTTGAGGATGTGGTGAATGCCATCGACCAAGTCACGCCGACCTTCACGGCGGCGGTGTCTACTCATGACCCCGCCGCAGGCACGGAAGGCTGGGCCCTTTCCGACTTCCGGCCGGCTGGGGTTTGGGCCATGGGCCGCATGGGCCACCGCATGTGCGCGGGCTAGGTCTGGCGATATTCTTCGTGCCTCGCGCGGCGGACTTGGAAGAGGCTTCATAGCGCTGGCGCCAAGCGCTGCGTGGCCGGATTGGCCCGGATTGGCAGGTGGGCCGCCAGATCCGCACCAAGCTCGTGCGCCACATGGGGCTGGCACCAAGCACAGCCCTCGAGGCATCTCACAGCCGACAAACGCGGCATGTTTGCGACGTGTTGCCCTGTGACCTGAGGCTTCGTGGTGGCGCTGCAAGAAGCAGAGTTCCCCAAGACAACCAGCGGCAAAATCCAGCGGAGCCAACTCAAGTACCTTGGCGCAGCGCATGGAACGCGAGGCATGGAAAACGGAAAGCAACTGAAAGTCGGAGCGACTCAGTGACTGAGGAAGGCGTTGCAGCAAGGTGCTTTTGAAGCCCGAGTGCAGAGAGTGTGAGCCAAAGAAAGAAAAAGCTTTTCGTGCCCTTGCAGCTTTCGCCTTGCAAAGTTGCGGAGTTAGATGAAAAGAGGAAGTGGGGATGGGTGAGGGTTGCCGCGTACCCAGGAAACTTGGGCAGGCAGGGGCGAGCTGGGGGATGGCAAGGATTACGTGTTGCCCACGAGTCGACGCAGGATGCGCAGCCGGGGCAGAGCCAAGGCCCGAGGGCATTGGCTCGGTTCTGCGCGAGAGTGCGGCGTGAGGCGAAGCTGATCGTTGTGCTTGGCCCTGAGTGGCTGAGTGACTGAGTGACTCACCGACGCAGATGTCGAATGTGTGGAGAATTGAGATTGCGAGTTGCTGAAGTTGCTGACTGTGCCAGGTGCTGAGCAAAGCAAGGGCGAGGGCCTTGAGGGCACTTGAGGGGGCAGGCGCGAGATTGCAAATGCCGTGGAGGCATTGGCTTTGCAGCTGGGACCCCAGACGGCTAAACGTTCAGCATAAGTTAGCCATAGTTAGCCTATGCTCTCCTTTTCCTCACGGAGTTGGACAGGAATGAGCTGCTTGCCGCCTTCTCTGCTGGCAGCTCAGTTGATTTTGCTGCCACCTTGCGCACATCTGCACAAACCAGTACGAGCCCCACGCGGATACACGCATCCATCACCCCCGATCGCAGAGGCCCCTAGGCCCCTGCCCCCCCACCCCTCCCCAGCAGAAAAGGTTTGGCTTCGTTCATTGAGTGATTGATTGATTGCTTGATCGGTTGCTGGCCGTTTGCTTGCTTGATTGACTGATTGGTTGGTTGATTCGTTCATTCCTTCATTCATTAGTTCATTAGTTCATTAGTTCATTCATTCATTCATTCATTCAGTTCAATTCAGTTCAAACCAGTTCAATTCAATTCAATTCAATTCAATTCATTCATTGGTTGCTGGCCCCCTCCCCATCCCCTTCCTGCTTTCTTTCTTCATTGATAAATTCATTGACAGATTGCTTGGCGCGAGCACGCCCCTCCCTCCTCCCCCGCCCATCCCATATCCCATACCCCAGTCTCTTGCGTCACGCAGCTGCCCGGGAACCTTGGCACGAGTGGCCGAGTCCGCGCGCTTCCAGAAGAAGCTGAACGAACTAGATCGAGCCAGTGCCCCATGGCCCTGCCCATACCCCTCGCAATCCTCGGCAATCCTTGCACTTTTGCACTTTTGGCTTGCGCGCGCCAGGAATGCGATGTGAGCGCCTCAGATGCATTTCTTTGGCTCAGTCAGAAGAGTATGCGGCCAGGGCAAGTCCTACCGCGCGGCACTGCGCTTGGAGTGCGGCTTCCCCTCTCATCCCATCAAGCCATCGGTTTGCAGCTTCCCAGCTTCCCCTCTCGTTTTGGTCAGTCGCCGTGAGGCCTTCCGAAAGCTCGTCCGGCGGGAGCAGCTGCAGATCATCCCCAGGCCCGGCATGCGGCTTGCGCACACGCGTCACACGTCCCGCACCGTTGCACACGTCGCGCGCGAGGTACGGTTTTGACGACAGCGATGAGGGTGTGGGTGACCCCAGCAAGAAGGGAAGAGCTGCGAATGCAAGCCACATGAGGGCCACATGTTGTGAGCCTTCGAGTTGTCTTTGTTGATCTGTCTGAGCCTCATTCCAGCCTCCTTTCGGTGAGGCCCAGAAAGTCAACTTTTTGTCCTTCCCAGCCCAAAACCCTCTCCACCGGGATTCCACCGATTGCTGCGTCCCAGATCTCACAGGTTGAGGAGATGCTCAGGGCATTCCAATGCTTCCAGGAGGAGATTCCAAGTTCCCAGGTCCTTGCCCAGGGCAACTCGAATCGAATCAGGATCCCGACATCTACGTGAATTCAGCTGCCATTGAAGAAGCGTTGCACCTGCAGCAGGCCAAGACCAGGCAGGATGCCAAGCGAACTGCGCCCATGCCCGACTGACCCGAGTGACTGCTCTTGGCGCAGTTGCCCGGATGCCTTTGGCCTGCGTCGAGGTGCCGGTCAAACTTGTTCTTCTTCTTTTGCTTGCAGTCCGTAGCATCGCGCATGTAGCATCGCATGCGCGTGCCCAGTTGAGAAAGTCGACTGCAAAACGTTTGTGCCTGCCTCGTACCATCTCGTAGCTGGCACCAAAAAGTCGCCATCCGGATGAGGCAGTGCAACTTCTGCGAGCACAGCTGGTGGCCTTTAGCCACCCGGCCTTCCAGAAATCCATCCGAGCTTTGAAGGCCAAGGCCGGGGCTTTCGAATGGAAAATCGAAAGCCGCCGATCGCCTGAGTCACTGAGGCAACGCCAGAGGACGGGTTCTACCATTTGCCAGGCGGTCAAAAAAGGTCAAAAAGCCAACAAGGTGATGCGCTCTGTCCGGAGCCAGGCCGCGCCAAGCTCGCTTTGGAGGTGCAGAAGCTGATCCTTCCCAGGCACGGCTTTGCGGCTTTCACGCTGCATCCCGGGATCCCGGACCGCGGCGCGGCGGCGCGTCCCCAGGTTCGGCTTTGAAGGGTCTCGCGAAGGCGTCTGCAATTGCAACCGTTGCAGAGGTGCGTGAGTTTTGCGGCGAGGCGTGCAGGCCATGATTGCCCACTGCTCGCAGTTTGCCACTGACGGCGAGGCACACTTGCCCGTGCAACTGGCTGCTTGCCGATTCGCCAATGTTTGCTCCACCTGGACCCAGGATGCTTTGATTTTGCCAGATGGCTTTCAGAGCGGCAGCAAACCGACCCACCGCTTGTTGAGGTGGCCGTTCTACTTGACAGCATCAACAGCAGGCACCGGACGCCTTGCGCCGCACGGTGCGCATGTGCGCTCGCATCGAGGCTGGGCATGGAGGACTCTGCCTGCCGCCGGTTCCGAGAGATGGCCGTGAAGCCTGCGCCCTTTTCTACTGAGTGTCCGGTCGTTACGTCCTTTGTTCAGCTCAACCGATTCAAACGAGGGGACATAGCGGAGATGAGCTTTCCCCAGAGCCCGTTTGCTAGGGTCAGGCCCTCAAGGGACTCAAGGGACTCAAGGGACTCAAGCTTGAGCTGGTCAGCTGGTGCTTGCTTCTTCAGCCAGGCCTGAGGCATGAGGCCGTGGAATTGCTGGGTCCCCGGAGTGGTCCGTTGGCCTGGCAGTTTCCTTGCGGTGAGCTGGGCAAACCCCGGGTAACGAGGGCCAAGCGTGAGCATCTCAGGCTGTACACATGGCTGCTTGAGCTAAAAATGCAGAACATGCAGAAGCAGATGCCACGGCCGTTGAGGCATTTTTAAGCGCACAAGGCCTGGCATGTTCTGCGCATGGGACCCAAGGGGGCCGAATTAAAGCTGCACGATTTAAGCCATGCAAAGTTTGACGGGCGCATCGGGTGTGCAGCCCGGTCTTTGTGTGGCACAGTGACTTGCCGGTGATGTCATGCTGCGGCACACCGAGATGGAAGGCGCTTGGAGAGCACCAACCTGCAAGGCAGAGAGCGAACCAGAATTTTCAGGCATAGAACATCATAGAATCCATTGTCTCTGGAAGTTGGGACATTCACGGAATGTTCGGTACTGTCTTATGGGTGCAGTACAGAGTTAGCCGCCTCTGAATGCCCAATACTCTCGGCCCGTCCACCCAGGTGCCCAAAAAAGGCAGTTTGGCCGAGCTCTTTCCATGTATTGTCAGTGTTGCGTCAATATGTGTTCATGGTTCCACGGATCCTTTGGGCTTTGTGAGTGGCCAGGTGTGCATAGAGAGCCTGGCTTGCTAGGCAGATCAGAGCATGGCGAATGCGGGCAAGTAGAAAAGTAGTAACTTAGTGACGCTCGGGCCTGCAATGGCCTCCGAATGCCCGTGGATCGAATGCCTCGCCTGGCCAATTCAGAAGCGACCATTGTTTCACACCGATTCGGATTTCGGATGGGGTGGGAGTGTGTGCCCATGCCCCGACGGCGGAGCTGGCTTGCAACCTGCCGGAAGAGCGACCCAGTTTTGCTGCTTGCCTCGCGTGCGATGGAACCTTTGAAGCTTCTGGGCGGAATGCAGTCCCCAAGGTGGATTCTGATTGGGAGTTTGTGCATCCCGATGGACACACACACACACATATATATATATATATATAAATATATTTATATATACACATATATGTATATATACATATATTGGATGCTTTTGTCCCGGGGACTGCATACCTCCGTTTGTGCAGTCCTGGCGTGAGCGCCGATTTGAACTCAGCGCCCCAGACTGAGCTCCTGCACGTCCTCAACAGCAATGTTACGAACGCAGGTCGGACTGGCAGGGGCAGCAACTTTTCACGCAACACGTTGGCGTTTCACGCCAATCAGGACGCCGACCGGTACAGCAAAGCGTGATGCCTGGCAAGGGTTTTTTGTCCAATTCAACTCATTTGTTGGATGCGTCTTGCCTCATTCCTGGTGTTGTGGGCAACCTGGTGTGATGTGTCCGCAGCTTCGAAAGTTCCACTTTGTGCACCGCATGCGCCCGAACTTCGCTGCGGGTGACACATGCATAGTGCACAATCTCGGAGTTGGTATTTAGCTCAAGTTGCATGCGGCGCAATGCAGGTAGTTGCCAGACCGCTTCATTGTCCAAACATTCCACTTCAAAGAATACCTGGCCATTGAATCCCCGCGCCGGCGCGGCTGATGGAGGGTTGGACAGTGGAATGTTCAAAGTGATGCCTGGCTGCAAAGCCGTCCGCCAGATCAGGAGTCAAGGAGGGTCAAAGTTCGCAAGTCACTGTGCTTTGCGCGAGGCTGGCCAGCAAGGAGAGCGTGGAGATCGATTTGAGCAGTCAAGAAGACCCAAAGCCAACCGTCCTTGAGAGCGACGACGAAGTTCCTGAAGTGGTGTCCTTGCCGGCTTTGTCACCGCGCAAACGATGGAGTTTCGCACGCCGGTGCCGAAGACACTCTGACAGAAGAGGGCACTCAGGCGAAGATGTCCCAAGCGCGAAACATTTCCTTGATTTCCATGTCAAGAAATGAAGTCATTGCGGAACAGAAGGGCACGCAGTGCAACTCTTCCGGAAAGGCTTTTGCACGTGTTTCGGCGCAGGTGCAGACTGGATCTACCCAGCCTGGCCCGGTGGGCGGCGCAGCAACGTGGATTTGGTTGAGAGCCAGCTCATTCAGACCAAGGCCAAGATCGAGGCGCCTTATCGGATGTGTTTTTAAAAAGGCTTGGTTGTTGCCATTTGCTTAGCCGCTGAACCCTTGCATGCGCCTTGCCTGGCTCTTAAATGGGGAAAAGTACGGAACAAACAACACCCCCGACTCTCAATTTAGGCACGTGGCGCAAATGATGATGGCAGGCGTCCAACTGATTCCAACTGCACCCGGAATTAGATTCTGCAGTTGCCATTCAGCACTTACGTACGAGCAAACAAAAGCACCCGCCCGCATGAACACCTGCAGGCCCAGCAAAGACCACGTGCGCAAGTTGCAGAAAGGTCTACGCCGCAGACAACCGTGGAAGAAGCATTTGCCCGATCTGCAAGCATGCTGGCCCGTTTCCCCATAGACGTCCAAGATCTTCCAACTAGCCAGTGCGCCCGATCAACCATCCCACAAAGGCGGAATGATGTGCATGAGCATGCGACGCTGCGAGCGAGGACGACGATGATGAGCACGGCGAGGTCCACAGCGTGCTTTTCCGTCGCAGCTCCTTGCTGCCGGAGGATTTAGGCGCAGACAAAGTGGGAACCCTCGAGTTTCCGCCGTAGAGTCTTCGCTTAGGGTTTAGGATGGTTAGGCTAGGGATGTTGTGGTTAGGTTTAGGGGAAAGGATCATAGGCATGCGAGCACCCAAACAAGCCCAGTGACTCACCCGGCCGAAACGGTTGATAGCTCAGTCGACAAGGAGGGCAAGCCACAAGCCACAGCCCTTGCAGATGAGCTAGAGATAGAGTACGTGTGTGCGCAGGTACGAATCATCCCGATGCACTCTGCGAGCCGCAGGCAATTCGTGACACCATGCCAGTGCCCTTCCAAGCGCAGGCCTCGAGCTGGGTTAGCATGCTGGCGGTGCTGTGCCCACACAGCATGTCACTCGGGATGGCAGGATGAAGTGCGGATCCCGCATCGACTCGTGCAAGGCTTTCTTTCTTCACCACAACTGGAGGCCTTCACAAGTGCCCGTTCCGTTGATCTAAGTTGAGTTTGCAGGCAGTGGCACTTGCAGCGCGCCGGTTTTGCCAACGCCTCACCACGGGCGCCAAGTGTGGCTTTCTGCTGGGGGACGGCACTGGCTGCGGCAAAGGCTGAGAATGGCAGAATGGCTGAGAGCTGTTTTTCTCATGGCCCGCGTTTTGCCATATTTTGCATGTCTCGCGTGACTCACTCCGCGTTCTCCGTGCAGGCCGCTGCATTTCTGCACTGATTTTGGACCAGTGGAACCGGGGCAGCCGACGTCACGTGTGGATTTCCGCGACCACAGACCTCTACCAGGATGCGGTACGAGACCTCCAGGCGCCGAGCTCGAAGCTCGAAGCCATTTCGATTCGAGCCTCCAGCTGGGGCTCTAAGGATCTGAACACGGGCATCGCAATTTGCAACCTGGCACGGGTGAAGGTGACCGGAGAGCTGGACGATGACAAGACTGACCGTGAGCTTGCAAAGCTGGGCAAGACCAAGGCCCGGCTTGCTATGTCAGGTTTTTGAGCGTGCCCAAACTGGAGACCAGAAACGGCCAACTGAAGATTGGCCTGGATTTGCCAGGATGGGGTGCTTTTCCTGACGTACTCGCTGCTTGTCTCTGCAGGACCCTATTGACTGTTGCGATATCTTTCTAATCTACAAGATTCTGCCAGGACGCAGCGGGATGTCAAGGTACAAGCAACTTCTGGCGTGGCTGTGTCGCTATGAGAAGGATGGCAGCGGCCTGCTAGTGCTGGACGAAGCCCACAAGGCGAAGAATCTGGAAAGCTCACGGTGCGCAGCGCTGGTGGAAGACTTGCAAGCCATGTGCACCAACTGCCCTGTGCTCTATGCCACTGCCACCGGGGCTACGGAGGTGTCCCACCTGCAGTACATGGTGCGCTTGGGCTTGTGGGGGGTGGAGGACCGCCCTGACCGGAATCCTGACCGGAATCCTGACCGGAATCCTGACCGCGACCGGAATCCGAAGCCGCCGTTTCCCAACTTCGCGTCCTTCCGGAAGGTCGTGGAGAAGGGCGGCGTCACGGCCATGGAGCTGGTGGCGGTTCAGCTGAGGCTCTCGGGCTCGCTCTCCTGCCGCTCCCTGGGCTTCGAAGGCACCAAGTTCGAGCTCTGCACCGCCACGCTGGGGCAACCCGAGATCCAGCAGACGCTTGTCAAATAGCCAGCCCAAAGCGCCGCAAAACCCAAAACGGGCCAAGCACTTGAAGCACTTGAAGCACTTGAAGCACTTGAACTCCATGCGCGCTACGTGCGTAGGTACGACGCTGCATCTGATCTGTGGAGGGACTTGCGACAGCACATGGAGCTGCTCCAGGACATGGACATGTTCAGGGACGATCTCAGCCGCAGACTCCTGGAGTCCCAGTTCTGGGCAGCACAGCAGCGCCGCTTCGCTTCCAGCTGCATACGCTTATGGCCTTCCTGTGCCTTGAAGGGCCCAGAAGATACGTAGAGAATCAGAAAATCAAGCCAAAAGCACGCAAGTTCGGCAAGCCAGATGCTTTAGCATTTTTCGATGTCAGCCCTTCCTTTCATTCCTACCCATGAGAGGCAGACGCTGATGAACTTGATGTTTTGTTATGTCAGGACGGCATAGCAATGAGACTCTCCCACTTATGTCGATGCACTTCAAGGTTGCGTTCTGGCTCGGGGCACTTTTGGGTCAGATGTCAGAAGTCACGCGTGTGGCGGCCGGCCAAAACCTGAGCTGAGGCTTCTTTAAGGGCCTGCTGGTAGCGGGGAAAGTGCAGAAGGCCGTGGAACTGGCACAGCTGGTGCGGGCCAAAGAGAAGCGGGACGCAGTACTCGCAGCATAGGCATAGGCTTGTGGGTCATATGAGTCATATGAGCCAGATGAGCCAGATGGGACATGTGGCAGTTGAGGCATGTTGAGGCATGTTGGCATGAGACATGAGTCACCGCATGCTGAAGGCTGCGAGACATTCTGAGACAGGTTTAAAAAACATCTTCTCGCATGCTGTTGTGTCACGGCGTGTGCTGCCGCCTGCAAACTTGCCTCGACATAGCATAGTTGTTGGATTAGACGCTGAGCGCACAGGACGAGTTTTGCGAAGCATCAGAGCTGCCAGTGCTTTCTTTCGTATTTGCAAGTTGTGTTTTGCAAGCTGCAAGCGGGAGAACTCGTCGTGGTGTGAGGGCATGTTGGGACATTTGGTGGAACATGTTGGAACATGTTGCGGCACGATGCAATTGAAACATGTTGTTGAGGGGCATGCTGATCCATGCTGGGGAGTGGCGATGCATGTTGCTGGGGCACGTTAGGACTGAAAGCATGTTGATATGCCGAGGAACATTTTGACATCCTAGGTCATGGTGCTGCGAAAGGTTAAGGCGTGTTGAGGCGTGCGGGTAGCTGGAGCAAGTGAGGCATGAGGCATGTTGAGTCATGTTTCGCCAAGGCATGTCAGGCATGATGAAGTAGATTCCAGCAGTTTGAGGCATGTTGCTGAGGCTGTACAGCACGGAGAGGCGGTGGTCCTGTCCCTGTGGACGACCAATGAGGCAGCCATACAGAGGCATGGGTGCATTGCTCAGCGCTTGGCCTTCTCCTTGCTCATTGCAGGGCAGGCCTCTCCGACACTTTTGCCTCCGGCCCTGAGCTGACCTTTGAGCAGCATCTCGGGTGGCGAAGGCTGTTGAGACCTCGCAGGTCCAAGGTCACGCGTCGTTCCATTGCCCAAGGTACGTGCAGCAGCTGCCGACGTCCAAAGGCGGCCAGGCCATTTGGCGCCATTTGGCCATTTGCAAATGCACCGAGGGATGGGCTCGCGCGGGCCGGGGTAGGAGATGGCCTGGGCATTTGCCGCTGCAGATGACTTGGTGCGGCGGGTGCGAGCATTGAAGCTGCAGCTTGGAATGGTTTGGTTGGGCAATGTGCGGACGTTGCTGTTTGAGAATTTCCTGGGGTCTGCTCATGTTTGTCACTTTCTCTGCCGGAATGACCGCAGAACTTGCAGTGCCACGTTGCAAGCCGAAGGGTGGCTGGCCAGGCCTGCAATCCGGCAACGAACTTCGAACCCTGCAAGCCCCTCCCAAAGTGTTCGGCCCCTTGCGCTCCTTTTTCCCGTTTTTGGTATCAAAACGCAAGGATAAAAGGACCAGCCAAGGCCACCAAATCCTTTGGACGACTTGATCGACCGATTGGGTGGGCCTTCCTGCGTGGCGGAGATGTCTGGCCGCTCACACTGCAGCCTCAAGGAGCGAAAGGCAAAGCCAGGCGTTCGACGTTTCGACGTATACTTTCCTTTGCTTTACGCTTCTGACATCTGACTTTCATTCCATCGCCCCGAGTTGAGCCCTGTACAAGTCTTACAGGACCCCACTGGCACGGTCAAGCAGCTGCGCCGCGGGCCGGGAAGCCAAAGCCGCAAAAGAGCGAGGGAGCTTTCAAGCCGCGACCGCGGGGACCGCGGGGCCGGGGCTTCGGTGAACGTGGCGGAGCAGCGCGCCTTCCAAAGTGGCGCCAAGACCTGCGCCGTGATCACGGAGGCCGCCTCCGCCGGCATCTCGCTCCACAGCGACCGCAGGGAGCTTCGTCCAGGCGCATCGCAACGAGTTCGATTTCACACTCTTTCCGTCACTGGAAAAGGATGGAAAAGGAAAATTCAGATCGGAATCAGCTTAGGAGCTCCCGAGCCGCGGCGGCGGCACATGATTTGTCTCGAGCTGCCTTGGGCTGCCGACAAAGCCGTGCAGCAGCTGGGGCGGGTGCACCGCTCCAACCAGCTCTACCCACCAAAGTTTACCTGCATTGCCCCGCGGACACATGAGGTTTGCGCGAACCAAGCATGTTGATTGTTTTTGGTTGTTGTTTGTTGCTTTTACGTGTTTTTTTCCTTCTTATTCCGGGTGCTGGCCGCCTTTCAGGTTACGGACTTGGCTGGGGAGGCGCGCTTCGTGTCCGCGGTGGCGAAGCGCTTGAAGCAGCTGGGCGCCATGACCCGGGGCGACCGCCACAGCGGCCAGGGCGTCGAGAGTCCGGAGAGAGACCGGGGAGAGACCGGGGAGAGACCGAGAGATTGGGAAGAGACCGGGGAGATGGGACGATACGGCAAAACGCCCGAAGGAACTGTTCGAACTGGACCGAAGGAACATTCTGGGCGCAGGTAGTTAGCAGTTTCCATGTCACGGCGTGTTTCTTTCTCCAAGCGTTGATTCCTCTTCAGCCATCGTCCTCGGCGGAAATCATACGTCTTCCTAGGGAGGGTGCGGTGGAAGGCGCCAACGCGAGGAACACACCCAAGCAGTGAGAAAGCCGCTTTCGGGACCCATGACGGCACTTTACTGGACTGGCCTCCAATCTGTGAGCCAAGCGTGCCACTGGCCTTGAGCACTTAGGCATGTTGCATTCTGAAGGGATGACTGAAAGGAGCGCACAAACAACTACAATTGATTGATCGGCAGGAAGGTCTTCAGCGGAGGCGAGTGACGCCAAGGTGAAAAGGCAAATTTGGAAGCCGCTGCCAAGCCACACGTCACGAGTGCAGGACTAGGCGAAGGAAGCGCAGCGCCAGTCGGACCTCGAAATTGAACCGACGGCAGGGTGCAAACAGATGATATCTAAAATTATCTAAATGATTGTCTAAATGTCTTCAAGCCCAATGTGCAGCCCCAAGGCCGCAAGTGTTCACGCGTTAGATCCATAGCTGCCCTGCAAGCCAGAAGCTAAAATCGAGGCTGAGTGCGTGCACAAAGATCGCAAACAATCAGGACGGCCATGGACGGCCAGAAGGACCACGAAAAACAACTTGAGCGCATGTTGACCATTGATGAAAGGTATCAGTGTCATTCGAATGTGCAGGGCTGAAGCATGTGCCTAGTAAGGGAAGACACTTTCAAAACGCGCGCGTTGATACCTAACACTCACGCAACGCTCCGTGCTCCAATGCGTTCTTCGGCATGACCGTGGCGTGTGTTTTAGCATGCGTGGCATGTTTAGCCACAACAGTGCTTTGCTGCTCCTTTGGGGCATTTTCTTTTATTTGTGTTCCAGGCACCTGTCGTGTTTGCGTCCAGTCTTGCAGCGCGGCCTTCCTGCACAGAGCTTCAGAAAAGTGACTGTGTGGATGAGGTCGAGCGGGTGTTCGCTTGGACGGTGGACGTGCTCATGGGGTCGGGTGCGGGTGTTGTTTGGGCGGTGAACGTTTCTGGTTGACGACAACTGTAGACAGGCTTGTCTCATCTCAGTTCGCCCACTTTCTCAGAGGGAAAAGGTAGAGAATAGAGCGAATAGAGCGAATAGATAGAGAGGGAGGCAGAGAATCAGAGAGGTTTTTGCCGAATGTGCCGAATGCCCCTGGAGGCTTTGGTTCCCGTGGCGATGCTTTCGGCTTCGGGCACATGGACCTGATGAGTGGCCCATACGGGCCAGCTGCCCTGTCCAAAGCAGCTCGCCAGCACCAGCCACTCCCGTTCGCCAGGCATCCCACACGCCTCACTTTTGAACCCCCCGTAAAACATGCCCACAAATTGCACCGTTCAAAGGCAAAAAAAAAGGACCTTGAAAATTCAAGGGGTTCTAACTTCCAATAAAGAGGGGAAAAGCGATTTACGAAATTGACGGCGAGGTGCTAGAGGCATGCAGTTTGGGGTGCTGGTGCAGGTGCTGTTTTGGGGCACTGGCGCAAGTGCTGTTGGAAGTGCTGAATGGCTTGCGTCGCCTTTGGGGCCTGAGGCCCGCCCAGGTCAAGGGCGCAATCCTCGACCTGCTTTATGCTATTGGCCTATGCTGGCGGAAGCAAGGCATCCCCTGGTGAATAACGCTCATAATCCGTCTTGAGTTGCTTGATCATATTTTTCTTTGTGACAACCTCCTGGCGCTGCCGGCCTTTCTGGAAGCGGCAGAACCGTCAGAATCTTCCGCCTGCAGAGACACCATTTCATGGCAGCAGTACGTTAGACTGATCGGCGCAAGCTCGCTTCCTTTTCGCTCACTCACTCGCTCACTCGCTCGTTTGCTTTGAACTCACTTACTCACACTCACTCTCACACACATTAGGGTAGCCCGTGTGGACACTCAGGCATCGAAATAGCGCATTCATTTGGCAGGGAACATTGACCGTCAAGCTTTCCGCGCAAGCTACGAAAGTGGTGTTATCCAGTCCTTTAGCTGCCATGTTTGCACAAGAAGGGTGAACTCAGACATTTTGGGAGTTTCGTGTGGTGGTGTTGAAGGTTATCTCGCATCGCACGTGATTCTCATATTCCACATGTCAAACGAGTGAGGGCGGATTGCGGGTAGAGCATGTAAGGATTAAGCAACACAAGAAACAGGTTGGGAGCGGCTGCTTGAAGAAGCACTCGCGCAAGTTTTCAGGACAAATATGCTTACGCCTGAGAATATCGAGCAAATCAAAATGACAATGCCTTGGCATAGCTGGCTTTAAGGGACAACAAAGTTGTCAGGATCGTGTGAGTCTGAATGTCAGTTCGATCAAAAGGGGTCCCCAAATATGGCACGCGCTCACTGCATTGAGGCACTCTGTGATGTGACGCAGCAGCAGACACAGCTGTCACTCGGTCTGAGCAAATGGCCTGGAGGTGCCTTGGCCATGGAGAATGGCTCATGTTGCCTCGCATTTGTTTGTCCGCTTTGTACTTGTGGGACAAGCGCCCCGTGGCAGAGCTCGAGTCTCCGATTGCCGACAAAAGTTTGGTGAAAAGTAGTCGTGCGGAGTTGAAGTGGACTTGCCCGAGCGCGTGGCCTGGATGCTAACAGCCTTCCCGCTGTTCTGAAGCCTCAGTGTAAACCTGTGACACGACGCACAGATGTTAGCAAAACGTAGGTGAGCCGTACCTTCATTGAAGGTGCCCAGGCCCGGATCCGAGGCTGGAAGGAGTTTGCGGAAGCGGCCTTTGTGGCGGTGGAAGCGCAGCAGGTTTTCATGGGCTACTGGGCAGCAGGTTCCGAAGCGAAGTGGCTGGTCGTGTAGCTCAGGCCGAGACCAGGATGGGAAGAGCTTGCGGCGGTTTCTGAACCGCGTTCTCGGCATGCCCTGCCGGGTGCAGGCACGGCGCATGGCAAGCCGCTTGGCTAGTGTTACCTTTGAGATTTGAGGATGGTCTTTGCGAGCTGCTCGCCGGCCACGTCGCTCGCATGGAAGACGCCGACCGCCGGGATGGCTTGCTAGACCGGGGCGTGGTGCTCCTGGGCGCAAATCTGTGACACGCAGCATTCAGCATGCGGAATGATGCGGAATGATGCGGAATGCGGAATTGCGCCTGACCACTTGCAGGTCGCTCAACCAGAATGGCCGCTGGGGCAAGCTGCACAAAGTCTCTGAGCTGCGAGCAGACCCCCTTCCAGGTGCGCACGTGTTCCAGATGCGTTGTGTTGCGCGGCGTGTGGGTCATGCGAGTCATGCGGTTCAGTGTGCTTCGAGAGGTGTGGCTTAAGGCCCGGCCAAGTCCGTGAGCTCCCCTGAATGGGTGCATAAGTCTCGTTGCACGCGCGAGACATGCGTTTGGACACACTTGGACGACGCACGCAGGTCTACATTTGTTTGTCATGTATATTTTGTGGGTATAGAATGAACCATATACACACATAAGTATATATCTAAGCTTTTCCCAGACCTACCTTTTGGTTGCCTCTCCAGTGCACGATTTGCCCATCTGAGACTGAGGAACGATCTCTCCACTAGGACCAGGACCAAATGAGACTAGAACCCAGGATCTCTCAACTGGGACTAGGACCAAACTAGGACCAAACGAAAAGGCCTCAGATTCTTACAAAAGTTGAACTTCAAGTATTTCCTGTGTAATGTCCTGTGTACTTCTAATTATTGCAGTGAGCTAGGGAGCAACCTAACACTAGAGCCAAGGATCTCACCTAGGACCAAACTAGGACTAGACCATTTAGCTCTACTTCTTATAGCATTTGGATGTCAAGTATTACATTCTGCTGCAAAGGAAGTCCTGTTAAATATTTGGTTTGAAACAGAAAAACCAATGGTTTATATTCCAACTTAACCTGTAAATCATGACTGGATATTTTCCTTTTTAGAATTCTACTGTTCAGCTAGCAGTTGCATAGAACTTGATTTATATATTAACTACAACTCATAAGGAACTTCCTTTGTAATGTCCTTTACACGTTCTATATATTTCCGTAAGCTAGGACCATACTAGGCCTAGAACCAAGAATCCAGGGCAAGCTTTTCCAGGGAATCTTGAGTCTTGAGCCATGCCCGATTTAGATTAACTCGGTTTAAATTGGTTTAAATCAAGCCTGAAGCTTCCAGAACGTCCTGGGAAATGCTTCTTTTCATTGCCCTCCCCAAATCCCAGAAATAAATGTAGAAAACACTTCAAATACCAGTGAATTCTTCAAAAAGGTAGGTAAAAGGGAGGTCCCTGGAAGGGGTTCCATCTATATATATATATAATATATATGCATGATATAGACAAACATGCAGGCAATGTCGTATGCCACAGCTAGGAGACTTGGTACTGCGGGAGCTGCGCCTGGAGCGGGGCCTGGGTTTCACAGCGGCGACGCAGCTCCTTTGTGCCCGGCAGGACAAGGACAGCGGGAGGCGAAATGGCGAAATGGCCTTGCCGCGATGCCCTTTGCAGGAGGAGCTGCAAGGCTTCTACTTGCGACCGGCTTGTGGAGAGGTCGTGCTGGCACTAAGACGCCGCAGTGACCAAGCCTGCTATCAGCTGCTTTGCCAGCAAGCCGTGATGCGATGTGCACTTGCTGAGCTTGTGTTTGTCATAGCTTGTTTTGCGCACCCAGCTTTTTGTTTAGCACTTTCTGTCTGAAGGCTCTTGTTCCCGCACGACAGCCCCAAGATGCAACTGGATGGGAATGCTTGCACGGCAGCCAAGCTGAAGACAAGCTCCCTGAAGCGGATACCTGAAGAGTCAGCCCGCGACCCATGGGAGACGCAGCGCCAGCTGTCCGCATCCCAATGCATACATCGGCAGCGCCGTCGTGACTGCGGCGCCCGCTGGGCGCTCAGGCCCGAAATCCGAAAGGCCTCACGTGAATTCTTTAACGTTTTGAGATGTTTTGAGCTTAGGTGACTGCAGGGTCGGACGGCGCGTGTTCGAAGAGACGATGCTGACAGGACAAGTTCTTGTGCATTGGGACTTCC